AAGAAGGAGGGGGCGAAGCGAGCGAGTAACGAACCACACCAGGTGTCCCGACCCTTCCCAGGATAAGTTCAATGCGCGGCACCAGATGTCCCGACCCCTTCCCAGGGCAAGTTCTCGCCCCCGATCCATCTTCGATGGCCTCAGGGACCGAAAGTGGGCCCAGGAGGCCCAAATCGAGGAAGAGCGCCCAGACCGAAAAAAACGGATCGTCGGAGGTCTGGGGAGGGGCCACCTCCTTCCTGCTCATCCCCCTCCTAGTTCGGCCCAGGGGGGGGAGGGACCGCCCAGAGGAGAGGCCGAGGGCGAGCGGCGAGCGGCGCACCTCGCGCCGCTCCGCAGGGGGGGCGAGGGCCGAGGGTGGAGCTCGGAACAAAGCAAGCGGAGACGACGGCATCTCAAAATGGGTCCCTGGACCGCTCATGCAGCACCAACGCACCAGTTTTCCAAGCCCCGCCCAGCCGTGTCTATGTACGAGGGGGCCTTCTGCCGTTGCCTCGACTCGCCACGTGTCGTGGTGCTCTGGCTTTCGGAGCAGAGCTCGGCTCTCCGGCGGCCGTTCGGGACGATTCGGGCAGCCCTGGAACGCTCTCGGCGAGGCGCAGCCGCTGGCTGGAAGGCATCCCGAGGCTGGGAAACCGTCGAGAACCGAAGATAATGCCCGTTAACATCGAACCTGCAGCGGCGGGCAGCGCACAGCGGAGCGGAGGAGCGCATCCCGCTGCCCTGCACGGCAGGGAAGCCCCAGATCCACTGGCGGCCGCGGACGTCCTGCGCCATTTCGAGGCGGCGCGGGATGGCGCAGACGACGTCCGGGTGGCCCTGGCGAGGGGCGCGCCGACGGCGATCAGTTCAACCTCCTCCCCCTTCTCGGGCCCCCTTACTCGACCCTCTCCCTCTCCTTCGGGCCCCCCTCTCCTCCTCCCCCTCGACTCTCTCGATCCCCTCTTCCTCCTCCTCCTCCTCCTCCTCCTCCTCCTCCTCCTCCTCCTCCTCCTCCTCCTCCTCCTCCTCCTCCTCAGCCCCGGCTCCCTCAGATCCCCTCCTCCTCCTCCTCCTCCTCCTCCTCCTCCTTCTCCTCCTCCTCCTCCTCCTCAGCCCCGGCTCCCTCGGATCCCCTTTATCCTCCTCCTTCTCCTCCTCCTCCTCATCCTCCCCCTCCTCCCCTGAAAGGCCTCCTTGCCAGAAAATGATCTTGCGTCAGGAGGGAAAGCACCGACAGTTTAGCTCCCAGACTGGCCCGAAAAAGCCAGAGAGAGAGAGAGCAGCCTAGAGGGAGCCTGGGTCCAGTGGGCCCGAAGGGGCCACTTCCTGGCAAGCGGGAGTGAGGAAGCTGCTCCCTCCCCCGTCTGCTCTTACAAATCACTGCCATAGATCACCCCACTCCTGGACACAACAGCGTGTAAGCATATCCAGTGGCTTCGTCCATGTCCAGCCGCACACCGCGCGTGCACAATTTCCTCGTCCATGACATCGTGCATTGCCTCCTGTTGCCACCGCTCAGCGACCACCTGTGAGCCCTACCCCTACAGGTCAGAAACGTGAAAAAAAAAATGGAGTTCAGAATTCGAAATGTGCCTGTAGCCCAATTAACCCCAACGGGGATGTGCGACCAAAGTGCTCACCACAGATTCCTTTAACTGACGTTCACTTAAGGGTAGTTCACCGTCATTTACCTGCAACTGACCATCCGTCAGAGGAAACTCACTTTCAATGTCCTTAATTGGCTTTTAAGTGACGTACCTTTACCTGATTGTCAATTACCTTTAACTGACGGTCAGTTAAAGGTAACTGACGGTGAACTACCTTTAACTGACCGTCTAACCTGACGGTCAGTCCAGTTAAACGTCCCATCGGCTTACAATTAATGCCCCGCCTGCTTACATTTAATGTCCCGGCCGCTTACAATCAATGTGTCGTACATTTACATGTAATGTCGCATCCGCCTGCATTAAATGTGCGCCCGCTTACAGTGAATGTACTTTCCACTTGCATGCAATGCCCCGCCCGCTTGCGTATGATGTCCCGCCCGCTTACAAATAAAGTTCCACCCGCCTGTGTTTTATGTCTCACCCGCTACCGTTCAATGTCCCCTCCGCTTACATGCAGTGTCCCCCCCGCTTGCCTTTAATGTCCCGCCCGCTGACACGTAATGTTCCGCCCCTTACATTTACAACCCCGCCTGCCTGTATTGAATGCGCCGCCCGCTTACGTTACATGTGCTGTTCCGCTTAATTGTGACGCCCCACCCGCTTGCGTATGATGACCCGCCCGCTTACATTTACAGTCCCGCCTGCCTACACTTCATGTCCTTCCCGCTTACATTCCAGATCCCGTCCGCTTATGCCTGATGTCCCGCCCGCCTCAATTTGTCCAAACCGCTTACATGTCATGTCCCCCCGCATTTACATATGATGCCCCGCCAACGTGCGTGTAATGTCCCGACCCCTTACATTGTAAAACCCGCCCGCCTGCTTGTAATCGCTTGCGCTAAATGCTTCGACCACTTACACGTAATGTCGCGCCTGTTTACAATTACTGTCCCAGTCGCTTACATTGAATGTCAGTTACCTTTAACTGACGGTCAATTGAAGGTAAGTTACCGTCAACTGACCTTTAACTGACAGTCAGGCAAAGGTAACTCACCGTCATTACCTTTGAGCTGACGGCCAGTTACCTTTCACTAACGGTCAATCAAAAGTAACTCATCGTGAGTTACATTTAGCTGACGGGCAGTTGGAGGTAACTGTCAGCGCCGATTTGACCCGGTTCGAAATTGGTCGCAGAACCGTGCGTCCCTCCTCGGCCGCGGCCACGCCGCAACCTCCCCACCCCGCTCCCCACTTCGAAAGACTCGGCGAGGCCTGCTTTTTGTACACAAGGCAATTCTCGCAGCAGACGAGCACCCCGCTGGGGCCGTCCACACCACCAGGCACCGCGATCAAGGCGTGCGCGCTGTGGTCCACCGCGTCTGCGAACTTCCGCGTGACGTGGTTCAGACCGAGGTCCATCTGCGGGCAGGCGGTAGACTGCCAACGAGAACGGTAACAATGATAAAAACGATCACAACGATTAGAACGATAACGATAACAACGACCGACAACGACCACAGAGTTGTTATCGCTGCGATCGTTGTGATCGTTGCTACCTTGTTATCGTTGACACCCCTCGCTTCCCTCCAGACCCCTCCCCATCGCCCATCCCCTGCCCTCCACTTCGGGCGGAGTCTTGGACGCGCGAGCGATACATAGGCGAGGCATAGGTGAGCCAAGGGCCTCGACGGATAGGGGTGGCGATGATATCATGGCTCGACTGACATTTACAAGCCCGCCGCCACGTAGGCCGGCTGGGAATCATGAGCAGGCCTTGAGGTTGTACCTAGCTACATTGACCGTGAAATAGGGATGGACAGGATATCATGAAAAACATTCGAGCATGCGCGAATGATATGAGTCAGCCGGGAGTCGTGGGAAAACTGCTAGCGAGCAGCGCCTCGTAAACATGGGTAACGCATGGTTAGGGCAATGGTGGAATGCGCAGACGGCGCACCATGATTATAATTGAGCGAAGAATCGACCGGAGGAATCCACCAAGCTGTGATCGGCGGTCTCGCGAGAGGGTCCCGAGATGCACCAAGAGGCCCAGAAGACAGTCCGAAACAAGCCGTGCGTGCTACAAAAGGCCTCTTAGGCGGCCCCAGCTCCCTGAGGACCCCGAGAGGAAACCCTGATGGTTGAATCCCACCAGCCATTTGGGCGCAGGTGCTCTAAGGAGTTATTTCTTTCCTTCTCAAATCCCTCTTTCCTTCGGCCCGAGGTGTTGTAGGGGGAGGGCGCGAGGTGGCAAAGGGTCTTGTTTCACCCAAGATGGCTCCAAGAGGGCCTCCGATGCTCCAAGATGGCCTCCAAGGCGGCTAAAAATAGCCGAAGATGGTTCGAGATAGCTTCCGACGTACCTCCAAGAGGCCTGACAAGGGCCACAAGTCGGTTCCGAGTGCTCTCGGAGCCCCCTCAGAACCCCCCAAAAAGGCCAAAATCCGTCAAATATGCGGGAAACCCATGTGCCTTGCTCGCCGTTTAGCTTCCGATGCGCTCTTGAAGCCTGACAATTGCCCTGAGGCGGCCCAAGAGAATGCCGAGAGGAGCCGAAGAGGCCCCCCAGACAGACGGCCCCAGGAGCGCCGAAGAGCGCCCCAAGAAGGGCCCAAAAGGGCCTCAGGAGGCTGTTGGGGGGGGGGGCTCGATAAATGAACCCCACTCATTTGACCGACGCCCTACAAGATGGCCCAAGAGGCCTGACAGGGCCCCCAAGAGGGCCACAAGAGAGCTCAAGGACGGCCCCACGAGGGCCCCAAGACGACCGCATGAGCGCCCGAGAGCGTCCCGAGAGCGTCCCACGAGAGCCCAAGAGGCCTTTTGTTGCCTCCTCCTCATCATCCTCTTCCTCCTCATCCTCCGCCTCCTCCTCCTTCTCCTCCTCCTCCTCCTCCTCCTCCTCCTCCTCCCCTCGCCCTCCCGCGGCCCCCAGGGATAGCCCGAAGCGGCCCTTCAGGGCCACCCCCTTGCTCCCAGACATCTATCTGATCATCCTGGTTGCCCGCTTTGTTTCACTGTGTGTCTATTCCTCCCTTTTCCCATCAGCTCTCATGGGCAGCGCTTCTGAACGGGCCGGTGGGGATAATTACGAAAAGACCCTCCGTGTTGTGGTGTTATGGTTAGCTCCTCGGCTTCTTTTCGGATCAAGATGGCCCCAGAAGGGCATCGCCGGACCCATAGCCTAGAGGGCAGCAAGAGGAGCCGAACAGAGAACAGCAAGACAGTCCCAGACGAACTGGAGGCACGCCCAAAGAGACCCCCAAGAGTGCCTCTGGAAGGGCCCAAGACTCCCTAAGATGCCACGAGGGTCATCGTCCTCGCAGGAGAGTCTAGAATCGAATCGATAAGTCGGATCGGGGATCGAAATGCATCGGATCAGCGGAAATCGGCAGCAGAATCGGGAGAAGTCGGATCAGCAGAAATCGGCAGGCTAGTAAGGCGTCCGTTGAGAAACTCGAGTCCAGATCGGAATCCGAAGTCCAGTTGAATCAGAATCGGAAACGATCGACATCGAATGGAACCGAGTCCGAGGAAGCGAAGAGAGCCGTCCTCGGGAACTGGATTCGAGTAGGAGATCGAATACATAGCTGCTTTATCCCAGAGCTGAGAGATGTCCGTCGAAACCACCGAAAACACATGGGATGCTCGTTCGTAGATCTGCGGGCACGATACGCATTCGCCTGTCGACTCGACGAGCAAAAAAAAAAAACAAGACGAGGGTGCATCAGTTCTGCAGCCGATCTCCTACTCGCGAAGGATGGCCCTGGTCAGGCTTGGCATAGTGGTGCGAAGGTCTGGAGGTCCCCCAGATGGGGTTGGAGAAGAGGAAGAGGAGGCGGAGGAAGCGGAGGAGGAGGCGGAGGAGGAGGAGGAGGAGGCGGAGGAGGCGGAGGAGGCAGAGGAGGAGGCGGAGGAGGAGGAGGAGGAGGAGGCGGAGGAGGAGGCGGAGGAGGAGGAAGAGGAGGAGATGGGGTCGGAGGATAGCACCGCATCGCCGATGCATCGCCGATGCGTCGGCAGTGCATGGGCGACGTCGGCGACGCACCGGGCGCCGCCAGCGGGGACAAAATCGGGCTCCACATCGCGCCGCATCGCCGATGCATCGGCGATGCGGCGCGATCCTCCGACCCCATCCACTCCGACCCCATCTGGGAGAAGGCCCGCTAACCCTTGGGCTCGCAGGCGGGGGCCCCTCGGCTCGGGAGGGGGCGGACATCCCCCCTTCGCGAGCCTGCGTCGGCCCGAGACCCCCCCCCTGCAGTGGTGCGCAAAAGGCCCCTCCCGCAAGCCCGCCCCCGCTCGCCCAGCCTGACCCCCGCCCGCCCAATCGCTGACTCCACCCCACCGGCTCCCGCCAATATGATGCACGGCTGCAGTCGGCTCGTTGAAACTCCGCCGCCTCTGCCTCCTCCTCATCCCCCGCCTCCTCCTCCTCCGCCTTCTCCTCCGCCTTCTCCTCCGCCTCCGCCTCCGCCTCCGCCTCCGCCTCATCCTCCTCCTCCTCCTCCCTCCCTCCCTCCCTCCGAGGCCCGCCCCGTGTCCCGAGCCAATGGCGAGGTCATCAGCTCATCGTTGTCGTTGTCATCGTGGTTGTCGTCGTCCCTCTGGGTCGGCGGCACCGGCCGCAAGGCCTTCACAGTTCCAGTTCGAGGTCGGAAGGGGCCTGGTGGTTCCTCAGGCTTGCGCTGCTCTTGTGGTGGCAAGCCCCTTCGGTGATCCTTCGGAGTTTGCGGCCGTTCCTTCGGATTTCGCGGCTCGACTTGGGAAAAAAGAGGTATCGTTCCTTGGTGATCGCTCCTTGCTTCAGCTGCAGCAGCCCGACGGCACACGCAAGAGTGACCCCAGACAAGCGTGACCTAATGGTGCGCGGCTCTCGGGGGCCGCGGGGACGCCAAGCCTGAGCGTGCAGGCCCGTGCCCAAGGGGCCCAGGAGGGCCCGCACCAACGGTCGCTCCAGCGAGAGCTCGCTCCTGCGCGTGGCCGAGCCGCTCGCCGCTCCGCTGCTCCGCGCACGCACGCTCGCTGCCGCACGCTCGCTGCTCCCTGCGCCGCCCCCTCCCCGCTCCTCTCCTCGGCACGAGCCACATGGGTGCGGCGACGATGGGGACGAAGACCGCCCGCAGTGCCTGCCCATGCTGTGGAGAGGACTCGCCGTCGGCGCCGCCGCCGGCGGTGCCCACGGCGACAACCCGAGACTCCCCGACGGCGGCCGCTGTCGGCTTTGGCGAGCATCTGCTGTTAGGCATCGCACCCCGCGCCAGCTGCCTCGTACAGCGTCAGCATCTTCTGCGGCGGGTCTGCGTGCGGGTCGCGGTCTACCTCGGCCCGGGGGAGCGGGCCCGTTCCAGCCCACCTCGACTCCCCTCCCCTCCATGTTGGCGCGAACATGGAGCATGAATCGTCCGGGCTGATGGGCACAGAGAAAGAATGAAGGGATAAGCGGCAAGCGAGGAGGATGGAATAATGACACGCGCTGTGGCCTGTCCCTGCCTGACACGCTGTCATGCCTCGACGCATGCGGTTAGCAGCACAAGATGCTGGGCAGCTGGGGCAACGTAGCAGGCAGACGACAGCAGACATCTCTGTGAGCCATCATACGGAGCCGTCTCTATGTTGTCGAGCGTGGGTGTTGAAGCCAGCGCCCCGCTCATTCGGACGATCTTCATCATACTGGACAAACCATGAGCTACAAACTCGGGGGGCAGCAACCTGCGCCAGGCTCCTCGCACCACCACGTCGAAGAGGCCCACCCACTGCCCCCCTCCAATCTACCCTCCTCTCCCCCTGCCGCCCACTTCCCCTTCCACTTCAACTTCTGCTCTCAGAAGCCCGAGAAACGGGTGCTTCAACGGTGGCACCGCGGGCCAGAGGCTCCCGCGCCCCGCGTCTTCTGGAGCCAGATCGAGCGTTGACCTTTTCGGAGCCTCGCTTGCGCACGTTTCCCCGGGAGCGCGCACGCAAGGCGCGCCGACGCGCCGTGATCCACACGCGGTGCAGAGGTGCCGAGAAGAAGACGGCGGCACGCCACCATGAATGAGAAAAACGCCGGCGCGCGGCCGTCCCTGAGCCCGACGCTAGCACTGCAGGCGTCCCTGCGCACGACCTGGAGATCCAGCAAATGCCGCGGGGATGCTGGAAAAGGTGCCCAGGATCGAGGCCACGCCAGAGATGTGATCGGAAAACCTATCACCTCCCTGCCAAGAGCCAGCACAGTGGACCCTACCTCAGTCTTGGACACCCTCCTGGCAAATCGGCTATTGCCGCGTCTGGGTGGCATCCGACGTCGAGATTCCCGAAGCAGCTTGCCTGCAAGAGCTCTACTTTATCGGGAGCGGCCAAGAGGGGGGTGTCCAAGAGGGGGGGGTGCAAATCATGACCGGCGGCATGTGCGCGGCCCCGCGGGGGGACCTGGGACGTAATAAAATAAGAAGAGGCGCCATGAAATCTGAGGAAAAATCATGGCCCGCGCCATGAAATCCACCCCCCCCTAGTCATCACCCCCCTCTTTTCCGCTCCCGACTTTAGGCTCGCAAGACATGGCGGGGGTCGTTGCCGGGCCACCAATCAACCGGTGACTCGATCGTTTTCTGTATGGCCTCCCATGTGCTCTCCCGTGGAATCTCCCGTATGACCTCTCGTACGATATCCCGATGCTCTCCTATATGGCCCCCATTATGGTCTTCCAGATGGTCTCCGGTGCGGTCTCCCCTATGGTGTCCCGCATGGTCACCCGTACGGTCTACTGCATCGTATTCCATACTGTCTCCCGTGCGGTCTCCCACATGATCACCCATACACACATATATATATATATATGTATATATATATATATATATATATGTATATATACATACAGACATATATATATATGATCTCCCGTATGGTCTCATGGATGGTCTCGCGTGTGACGTCCCTGTTGGTCTCCCGTGTGATGTATGGTCTCCCGTGTGGCCTCTCGTGTGGTCTCACGTGCAAAATGCCGCACGGCCCCCCGTACGGTATCCTGTGTGGTCTCCAGGATGGTCTCCTGTCTGGTCTCCGGTGTGGTATCCCGCATGGTCTCCCGTATGGTCCCCCATCGCGGTTCCTTCGCAGGCTCTCTCGCACGGCCTCTCGCACGGTCCACCGCATGTCAGTACAATCTGAGTATCGCTCTGTGCTCTTTCTGTTTTTGCTTGCTCTCTCTCTCTCTCTCTCTCACTCCCTCTCCTTCTCTCAACAGATATACCCACATGCACATGCAAATCAATATATATATATACACACACATACATACATATACATATACAGATGTCTATACATACGAGGTTTACAATACTATGCCACCCACATGGTTTGTTACTTCACAGCGTGGCTGCCAACAAAATGGGCCCCTTCCTTGGGACACGCTTGTCTCCAGAGGCGTTGCTCGACAGTCCCGGGGTCCCGTGAGGGCCGGAGAGGTACGCCGATCAAGGGCATGAAGACATCGAGCACGAAGCGCGGTGGCAAAGCGGGAGTGCGTGGTCCGCCTCCTCGTAGCTCAGCTCGATCGTCGCGAAGAGCGGGTTCTCAAAGCCCACGTCCATTCCGACCGTCCCGTAGACCAGCGTGCAGCTCTTGTGGGCCTGGCGCGCCCCGATAGCTGGGACCTGCCAAGTTTTGGCCTCGTCCCTCGAGGTCAGGAGGGTCTGAGCCCAGACGGAGTAAGCCCATACGGCGACCGAGCACTCCGTATGGACTCACTCCGTATGGACTGAATTAGCCTCCTCTCAAGAGAGGCAAATTCCAGAAGGGGTAAGCCCAGATGGAGACCGAGCACTCCGTCTGGACTCACTCCGTATGGACTTAGCCTCCTCGCAGGAGAGGCTCTAACCCAGATGGGGACCGAGCACTCCGTCTGGACTCACTCCGTATGGAGAGGCTAAGTCCCCTCAGGGGAGGCAACTTCCAGACGGGGGAAAGCCGGATGGAGACCGAGCACTCCGTCTGGACTTACTCCATGTGGACTTTGCCCTCGACCCTCGTGGGACGCGACTTCGGACATGTTTTGTTGCCCCTTGATTGGCATCCAGAGCCCTCCGGAGACCCCCAGGGACCTCTGGAGAAACCTGGGGACCTCCAAGTGCGACGATCAAAAGCGGCGGCAAAACTTAGAACTAAGGCCTGCGCCCACCCGCCCCCGTGCATGCTTTCACTCCCTACGGCACTCTGGGCCGCCTGGCCGTCGTCGTCGCCGTCGTCGTCGCCTCCTCCTCCTCCCCCACTTCAGATCCCTTCCTCCCTCCCCCGAGACTCCGTGCGTAGGCTCGTGCTCAGCACAGCGACCCCTTGGAACTTGGGCCAGCGGCCAGGGAAGAGACGGATCCCGAGGGGGTGGACAGGATGGGCCGAGAGCCGTCCGAGGACATTGGCCCGCCTCAGCGTCAGCGTCGTCGTCGTCGCCGCCGCCGCCGTCGTCGGCGGCACCAGCCGTAAGGCCTTCGCAATACGAATCCCGAGGAAGTGGACAGGACGGGCCGAGGGGGGCCCGAGGGAGCAAGCGCGAGCGAGCCAGCGCGGGCCCGGGCAGCCAGCGAGTGGCCCCCCCGCCTCGACAGGCAGGGAGCAGGGCGGCAGGCTCTGCGCAGGGGAGGGGCAAGAGCGGGCCCCTGGGACAAGGGGAGGCAGCTCGCAACGCGGGACTCGGCAGCGGCTCGCCGGCAGGACCCGAAAAAACTTGCACGTGGCAGCGCGGCAAGGGCAGTCCGCGCGCGCGCTCCGGCGGGCCGGGAGACAGCAGGCGCTGATTGTCCAGCAGCACGAGGGGGGCGGAGGGGGCACGAAGGGGCGGCCGCGGGGGGTGGAAACTGGAGGGAGCGGAGGGTACTCACAGGGAGAGGTGCCTCGCCTCGGAGCGGCCGGGGCGGCAAGAGGACCCCAAAGCAGGGATCGACAAAAACAGTGTCTGCCGTTCTCGTTTCCGAAGTCGGGACGAAAACGGCCCACGAGATCGTGAAAAAAACTTTGAGGTCGACGCCAGTCCTCAAAGCAAGAGAAGATCCCCCCTGGCTGGACGGCCTGCCTCAGCGCCCGCCTGCGGCGAGCGGTGGCGTGGACGCGGTGCTGGGCTCACCTGGATCCCCCGACTCCCCTACAGTCGTAAGGATGCGCGGTAAGGAATACAAGGGCCTTGGAGAGCCGCATCGACACTTTTCGAACGAGGCTGGCCAGCGAAAGTATGGGCCGAAGGGGCAAGGATGCAAGGGAGGAGGAGGAGGAGGAGGAGGAGGAGGAGGAGGAGCAGCAGCAGGATGGGGAGGAGGAGGAGGAGGAGGAGCAGCAGCAGGCTGGGGAGGAGGAGGAGGAGGAGGAGGAGGAGAAAAAGGAGGAGGAGGAGGAGGAGCATTCGAAAGGTTGGACATCCTTGCTATGCTGGTGGACTGAACCGGCTTCTCGGGCCGCGGCATCTCCTCGACGACCGCACTCCGAAGGGGGGGCCCCCCTTCGGGCGCTCAGCGCCTGGCCCCCGCCCCCGCTGGGGCGAGGGGGCGGCGAGAGGAGGGGCGAGGCCGTCCCTGAGGCCGGTCAAGGGCGAGGGAGGCCAAGGCGGAGGGCCGGAGGGGAATGGAAGGGTGAACAGGGGGGAAGAAGAGAGAGGAGGGGAGGGCAAGCGAGGTGCGCTCGCGCCACACACACACACACACACACACACACACGCACATGTATATGTTTGGGATCATCCCTCTTCCTATATTCTTATAAGCCCTGGCGGGGGGAAAACCCCACACCCACACCCAAAAACCGGACTCCCGAGATCTGGGGCTTTGGGACCCTCCGGACGGGCCTCGAAGCGGCCCCCCAGGCCTCGCAGGGCGTTTTGCCAAGCCTTCCCAGCACACTTAGGGCGATCAGGGGGGTCATCGGAGACGTCCCAGAGACCCCCAAGACAGCACAAGAGCGCTCCGAGAGTGACCGACGTGACCTCAAGATGGCCCAAGAGGCCTCCAGGACGGCCCCAAAGGCCTCAAAAAGCCTCCAAGAGCACTCACAAGAAGGCCCTTAGCGGCAAAAATCATTGCTTTTCTGCGGGTTTTTGGTGAATTCTGCGGTTCTCCACTTTTCGGCTTCCCGACGCTCCAATACGGCAGTCTTCTGGGCGTCCGAAGCTGCCTGGGAGGTTCCAAAATCGCCCCGCCACCATCCGAAAGGGCTTCCAGGCAGTCCAAGAGAGCCCAAAAACGGCACAACAGGGGTCAAAGATGGCCCTAAGAGAGCCCCATGGCGGCCCAAGACGGCCCCAAGACACCCTCCGAAGCACTCCAAATCGTGACCCGGTCGTTCAGGGAGACCGCGGTTGGAGGCAGGGTGGCCCGAGGAAGCCCCAGAACCTCCACAACACGCCCAGGAGGCCTCCAGAAGGCCTTAAGAAAGCCTGAAACTTTTGTGAGGCCCCCAGAGGCTCTCCAAGGAGGAGCCTCCGCAAAAAGAGCTGAGGAGGATGGGGAAAATGCGCAGGGTATGGCGAGAACGAGGAAAAGAATCATGGAGGAAGGATAACGAATAACATGATTTTAGCGGCGACGCTGGAACAAGTCAACAAAGAGTCATCGCTAAATTGTCGGCTTGACCTTCCTGCCATTCCGTCTGCACACCAAACTTCAAGGACGAAGGTGCATGGCGCAAAGCACCACTGCAGTCTTGTATAAATATACATACATACATACATACATACATACATACATACATACATACATACATACATACATACATACAAACATACATGCATACATACATACATACATACATACATACATACATACATACATGCATGCATGCATGCATGCATGCATGCATGCATACATACATGCATGCATGCATGCATGCATACATACATACATACATACATACATACATACATGCATGCATGCATACATACATACATACATACATACATACATACATACATACATACATACATACATACATACACACACACACATACATACATACCTACATACATACATACATGCCTACATGTTCATATATGTATACATATATATATACAAACACACACATACATATGACCATCCTGCCCCTTCCACCCAGCACTCCCAGCTGCGTGTCCCAGCGAGCCTGGCTCCCAGAGTGGCCCTCTCCGTGCGGTGCGCAGTCCGACATGGGGGGGCTGCTTATCATGGTGTACAAGGAGGCGGAAGCGGCCGACGAGCAGGCAGAGAAGCAGGAAGAGAGCGAGAAGGAGGACGAAGGAGCAGCAGCAGCAGCAGCAGGAGCAGGAGCAGGAGGAGCGTGAGGAGCAGGAGGACCAAGGAAGGTAGGGGATGGGAAAAGAGGAAGGGGGCGACAACGACGAGGAAGGAGTCGGGGGCGACAACGACGAGGAAGAAATCGGATCCAGAACGTGTTGCTCGCCCTGGGGCGAGAGCGCCACTCTGAGCGAAGGGAACGAAGCGCCGATCCTGGAAGTAGGCCAACGCTGCAGCGGGATCATCATCCCTGAAGGGCAAGGCATGAAAAGTCAATACTTGGAAACTTGCGCGCTGAAAATTACGTGGGAGAGGCGGCGACCCACTCGCACAGTATCCGGGGAGAGGGGACAGCAGCACTCATCATCATCATATATATATATATAGCTGTGCAGCAGGGCTGGACCTAAACATTGTTGTTCGTTTCGTTATCGATTTATGTTTCGTTTTGCTCTACCTGTTGTCCTGACCCTCCCTGCCAAACCGAACAAACAAAAAAAAAAAAAAAAAAAAAAAAAACTGGCGAAGGACCCAACCATATGCAGTTGAGAGTACCGCAATTGTGAATATCTTCTTCGGTGGCGCTCCCTATGGGGCCACGAGCCGTATGAGGGGTGTGCCGAAATGCGTGGCAGTGTACACAACACGAACGAAGACGATAGGTCCGAATATGAAAGCTTGAGCGCGTGCGAGTCGGATCGCGAGCGAGTCTGATTATGAATGAATCTGCGCGCGATTGATTCTATTCGCATGAATGCGTGCATGGATACGCCCAGTGTAAATGTATGTATACGACTGTGAACAGTTTGGGTCTGCGTGACTCTCGGTACTCGTGACTCTGAGCGTCGCCTCTGCAGGGGGCTTCCCTGGGAACCCCGACGGCAGCGCCCGCGCGCCGCGACGCCCATGTCGGCACGCCACACACCTGGTGTGCGGGACGCATGCGGACGGCAGCACTGGGGCCTTCGGTGGAGCTCCCTGTGGGGCCACGAAACGTGTGAGGGGTGTGCCGAAATGGGTGTGCGGGACGCATGCGGACGGCAGCCATGGGGCCTTCGGTGGAGCTCCCTATGGGGCCACGAAACGTGTGAGGGGTGTGCCGAAATGGGTGTGCGGGACGCATGCGGACGGCAGCACTGGGGCCTTCGGTGGAGCTCCCTGTGGGGCCACGAAACGTGTGAGGGGTGTGCCGAAATGGGTGTGCGGGACGCATGCGGACGGCAGCCATGGGGCCTTCGGTGGAGCTCCCTATGGGGCCACGAAACGTGTGAGGGGTGTGCCGAAATGGGTGTGCGGGACGCATGCGGACGGCAGCACTGGGGCCTTCGGTGGAGCTCCCTGTGGGGCCACGAAACGTGTGAGGGGTGTGCCGAAATGGGTGTGCGGGACGCATGCGGACGGGCCACCTTCGGTGGAGCTCCCTATGGGGCCACGAAACGTGTGAGGGGTGTGCCGAAATGGGTGTGCGGGACGCATGCGGACGGCAGCCATGGGGCCTTCGGTGGAGCTCCCTATGGGGCCACGAAACGTGTGAGGGGTGTGCCGAAATGGGTGTGCGGGACGCATGCGGACGGCAGCACTGGGGCCTTCGGTGGAGCTCCCTGTGGGGCCACGAAACGTGTGAGGGGTGTGCCGAAATGGGTGTGCGGGACGCATGCGGACGGCAGCCATGGGGCCTTCGGTGGAGCTCCCTATGGGGCCACGAAACGTGTGAGGGGTGTGCCGAAATGGGTGTGCGGGACGCATGCGGACGGCCGTTGGGGCCTTCGGTGGAGCTCCCTATGGGGCCACGAAACGTGTGAGGGGTGTGCCGGGGTGTGCCGAAATGGGTGTGCGGGACGCATGCGGACGGCAGCCACTGGGGCCTTCGGTGGAGCTCCCTGTGGGGCCACGAAACGTGTGAGGGGTGTGCCGAAATGGGTGTGCGGGACGCATGCGGGCGGGCCTTCGGTGGAGCTCCCTATGGGGCCACGAAACGTGTGAGGGGTGTGCCGAAATGGGTGTGCGGGACGCATGCGGACGGCAGCACTGGGGCCTTCGGCGGAGCTCCTATGGGGCTACGAAACGCTGTACTGGGTGGGTGAAACGCAGGGAAGAGGGGGAGGAGGGAGGAGGAGGAGGAAGGAGGAAGGAGACGCGGGGCACCGTCTCTTCAAAACGAGGACCCAACACCACAGGATGGTTGGGAAGTAAAACAAAAAAAAAAAAAAAACGAAGTCCAGCAAAACGGCTTTTAGGTCCAGCCCTGAAGGCAGAGGCGGGAGCGGTGGCAGGGATACGGGCGGAGGCCCGGACGGCAGGCAAGCCTCCAGAGGGGACGATATCGTCAGCCGCGCAGCAGAATCCCTGTTGAGGATGTACACGAACTTCTGCTTCTCGATCGCCGAGATCATGACGGAACGGCCCTCCCAACAACACTGTCCGCTACGTCCCTGTCCGGTGTCCTCTCAACCGCCTGCTGCCAGACCCCACAACCGCAACGTTTAAACTGCACAGATTGCTGACAAGAGGCGCAGGAACAATGCTCTCGAGTCTGATAAACAGCTGTGCGGGCCATCTCACCTCAGCTCTCAACACTCGGTCATTCGAAAGCAAGCAGTCACATCCCATCCCAGCAGGCACCCCTCCTTTGGATCGACTGCGAGGTACTGGCCAGGCACTATGCGGCGACAACCTGTCTTTCCATAGGTCTCCTGTGACATGGCGCCAACATTAGAAAAAGAAATACAGCACAGCCCTTCACCATCACGGCAAGGCCCGAGGACAAAGTGCGAAGGATGCGACAAGCAATTCAAGGCGCAGCGTGCACCCAGAGGAAAGCCATGAGATTCACGCACACGTACTCACTGATACGTTCATAATATAGCGCTCAGAGGAGAAATCACATCGTGGGTTCAACAGGGTAGGAAAAGTCGGCCGTCATCCTGGTGGACCTTCTCAAAAACATTATTCTGGCCGTCGTATTCGAGAATTACCTGGCTATAGAAAGCAGCATAATCAATTCAAGGCGATTGCTCCCTGGAGCAAGACGTACATCGATCAAAAAGCGCACGCTACCAAGCACGACAGACACACAAAGGCATTGGCCACACGAAAAGCTGACATGCTTCATGGTTTGAGGAGGAGAGTGTGTCATCAGAATCTCTCGGTGCAACTGGCACAGCATGAAAGCCAGAACATACCAGCAAGTAAATGCACATGGAGCTGAAGCTGATCAGCAAATCACCATAATTCGCAGTGGCTCAACATTCACTGTAAGAATCCAGCGCGACCCCAGCTCAGAGGTATGGTCTGCTTTGGTTGAAGCAAATATGTGCAACGTGACGCAAAGCCACGAAAACCAGTGCAGTGGACTGCAAAGCAAACGAATGCAAAGTAGCCAGTGCAAGCATAGAACAACAACGCGCAGCATAGCAAATCATAGCATAGCGCCGTGTGGCAGATCGTGGCCCAGCGGCATCGCAAAACCTTGAACAGCATGGTGTTAGCACAGCTTGGCATGACATGATGTAGCGCTGCATAGCACATAGCATGCACACATAATCATTGGATTGCACCGCACTGCGTTCCGTGGGTGAGCAAGCGTTGTCGGGCATGCGTAGCACAAAGTTAAATAGCACAGCATCTACAAACATATGACGTAGCACTGCACGCCGCGGCGCGTATTGTGGTACGGCGCACTGCATGTATAGCAGTGCACAGCATTGTACAGCAGTAGCGGCGCTGCGTAGCACAGCATCGTATAGCAGTGCAAGTAATTGCATCACATCGCATTGCATGGAAAAGCAAGGAATGGCAACCCGTAGCACTGTAGTACTTTGAAAGGTAAGGCAAACGTGGGCATGGCAACGAAAAACCTAACGTTCACCTAATCCGCCACCGTGCCCTGAGGCACGACTGGAAGCGTCCTGAGGTCCTAGGCCTAATCCCGTAAGCCTCAGTCATCGGTCCTGAGGATTCTTTTCAAAAGCCCAGACCCCCCATGCCACCAGCCCTCTGGGCGTAGGTGGTTTGACAAACTCGTGTCTTCTCTCTGGCAAAACCAGTTATTCCCCTGCTCGGGGGCGGGGTTGATCACTGTTCCCTATTAATATACACCCCCTCCCTCAGGCGACCGAGGGGGCCAACCAGGCATCAAAAAACAATGCAGAGTACACTTTGGGGCAAAGTCTTGAGTCGTGTTCGTGAGGCACGCGAGCACGGCAGGGGTGTCAGCATATTCCCTGCTGGAAAGCCAGTTGTCTGCACTACTACGGGTTGTGACGGCGGCCCCGTCAGCATCTACCACCGACTTCGATCAGTGCGAACACGGCCAGCAGGCCCGAGCACCGACGCGTATTCTCGCACTGCGTATGGCGACACTACCAGACCGACTCTTGGAGACACCAGGCCGTGGGAGATGCCCCCACGGCTGTGGGGCTCACGAGGTCCACTGCGCACGGCCAAGAAAAGACATACCCAAAGGGTTTGTGTCGGATCTTGGCGGATGCGACCGTGGACTGTAGCATGCATGGTTGTGCTTATAGGCCGTGTGCGGATTCCTGTGCATGCGCCAGGCTATTGGCAGCGTGTATGTGAGGATGTGCGAGCAAGAGGGGCGAGGACCCCGCCTCCTTCCCCTTATGAGCTTGCCTCCCTCCCCCATCTCATCCATCAGCGTGTGTCTGTAGCTTCAGTGTCGGTATGTTTTCTTTGTCAGTAGCCGCCCTTGCATTGCTGTCTGCGGCCGCCGGCGAGAGAGAGTCCCTCCCCGCCCGCGCTAACAAGCACTCGAAGTACGAACGGGTGCCATCTGTGCTGATGATACCCCGCTTTGCAGCGCGATCAAAACAGGATGGAACTCACACGCTCGGCCCAGGCGGGCTTGTGGCCAGGGGTCCACGTGAGGTCGGCCGGACTTAATTAATGGCACACCCGTAGCGTGCCACACGTGCGACCCAGAGCGTCTTCTCCTTACTGCCCGCCAGCCAGGCGCTGACGGATATTCTCCGTTGCCGCCTGCTTTGTTGTTCTCTCTTCTGCCTTTTGTTGCCTCCTCTCTGCGCTCTCCGCTGCTCTCTGTCAGATGTCAGGAGGCAGGAAGTCAATCAGTCAATATCGCGCCATGTTGGCGGCGCTATGTGCTGTTGCTGAAGCAAAGATGACTGCCCCTCGCCTTACCGTCCCATCGCTTTGCCAATTGTTGGGAGGATGCGAAGATAGCCTGCACGCTCGTGTGCCACGACCTTTCAGTCAATCTGATGTCCGATGTCTCAGGGGAGACATCTCATCACATGAAGGTTTGCATGTAAAGCCGCTCTCTATGGGTACTGCCCAGCAGTACAGTAATAACCAAGGTTTTAACATGTGTCTATCGAAGGTGCGAGGTTTTGTCATCGAGCAGGGTACCTTGCTGCTCGCTTCTCGGCATTCTGGCAGGAGAAGAATATGTTCAGTGTTCAGTATCGCGCCATTTTTGCCAAACCATGTGCTGACCTACAAGGCGAAGACAATTACGCCTCGCCTTCCCTGTCCCTCCGCGCTGCATGATGCCAGGGTGCGAAGATGGACAGCACGCTCGTGTGTCACGCTCGTGCTGTCGCCCCGTTGGCTTATGCCTCAGTGGATGCACATCATCGCTTGCAGGACCGCCCAGCTGCTGTCTGTGCTATGCATTTACACAGTACGGACCACGGTTTTTAAGCCTGTGCCAGTTAAGGGTGGGAGGTTATTATGTCTCGGAGGGGTGAACTACTGTCCTTGCGTCCTTGGTGCCCGTGCAGAAGTGCTTAGTCTGACTAATATTTTGCTAGCTGCAGCGCCTCCCAGTCTCGACAAGCCGTATGCTTCAGCGAGGAGCCAATCCAAAATCCTCCTGGGATCCCTCCGAACCGACGTCGCCGCCGGAGGCCGACGTCGCCGCCGTCGAGGGGGAGGCGGAACCGCGTCCCGGGCCCGCAGAATCGGCTTGGCCGACCGCCGTGCCGGGCTGCGCCGAGGCAGGGAGGCGAGGGAGGGAGGGAGGGAGAGGGAAGGCGACGACGCCAGAGCGAAGCCGAATCGGATGACATCGGCAGAAACCAGCTGCCAAATCGAAATCGGCAAGAATCGGATCGGGCAAACTCGAAATCATGAATCGGAATGTTCGCATCGACTCGGACCCCTCGGAAATCGAATGAATCGGCCTGGAGGAGTCGGAAAGGGACGCGCCAGGCGACGTGCCAGGGGAGGCATCCTGCCCAAATCCTCATGCTAGACATCCGCCTGGGCGACCTGGACACGTGAAAACAAACGTCTCGCTCAACACATCTTCAACACATCCTCATGCTAAACATTCGCCTGGGCGAACTGGACACGTGAAAGCAAGTGGTTCGCTCGATCCGTCCTCAACACATCTTCATGTTAGACGTCCGCCTGGGCGACCTGGACACGTGAAACCAGGCGCGTCGCTCGACACATCCTCAACACATTCGCCTGGGCGACCTGGACACGCGAAAACAAGCGCCTCAATCGATACTTCCTCAACACGTCCTCATGATAGCCATCTGCCTGGGCGACCTGGTCGTGTGAAAGCAAGCGTCTCGCTCGAGACACTCTCGACACATCCTCATGCTAGACATCTGCCTGGGCAACCTGGACGCGTAAGACATCCTCGAGAACTGGGCACGTGAAAACAATCATTTCACCTGAGACATCCTCTGAACCCTGGTTCCCCATAGAGGAACAATATATAACACCAAACAAGCGTTTCGCTCCAGACATCTTCGACGCAATCTAAACAAATAGCGGTTCGCCTGGGACATCCTCAAACATAATTTCGCCAGCCCTCTTCCCACCTCGTTGTTTACGGCAAACTATTTCGACGGCCTCTTCCCGTATACTTCGGGAATAAACCCCTAAAAAAAAAAACGTGGGCCCACGCCCTTTCCCGGAAAAAGGAGATGGACATGGAGAATGGCGATGTGAATGAGCAGCACGAAGAGGCCTGACCAAACGAACACAACCAACATCGATGGAATGATGAAGGAGGAGGGGACTTCTTCTAGAGGATCGGATGGAGGTGATGCCCGATCCAACAAGCACCAAGGGCAGTTACAAGAGGACATGCATCCTGGCAAGATCCCCATCGTGAGCCGTCGATTGTCGCACACATGTGCGCCAGACATATTCGCATGTGGTGTCCGTCCGTCGAAATGATTTGTTGGGTGGGTTCTTATACTTCGCTGCGCAAGGGGACACAAAAACGTCGTGACCCGCCGCGTACCCACCGATCGTCCGCGCCGACCATGTGCGTGTAGATCAGCATGCCGGAGTTCCTCTCGCCCATCACCTGGATCTGGTCCTCTTCCTCCAGGTGCCGGATGGCCTAACAAGCGACGGACTTGCTGACCTTCAAATCTCGCTCACAATGGCCGCGGTGGTCAGCTTCGCCTTCGGGATACCCTTCATCATTATGTAGCATGTGGCCTGTCCGAAGACGGTAAAGAAGGCCAACTTCTCCTTGATCTTCTCCTTGCTCCATTTCGTTGTTTCTCGGACTTGCCGGCCGCTATCGCGGCCTTCTTTTTGGCCCCCTTAGCTTCTGCACGGCCGTGTTGTCGCCGATCGCAGTTCGGCCTCTCCTGCTCGCGGGCACGGATGTGGACTGGGAGTTGCGCTTGAGCTTACGTGGCGACGGTCGCCGACGCGGTGAGTTTGTTAAACAGGCAATGCATCCAATGCGCTACAGGGGCCGCTTCAGGAAAGACCAGGCCCGCCGCGCCGTAATAGGACAGCTGGGAGGCGGTGAACTTGAGGGACCAGCGCCCCGTGAACAACTGGCAGGCGGAGAACGAGCGAAACACTAATAAAAAGACAGGGGCACGATCAGCTAGATACTGAACCCCTCCGCCCTTCCACATGGTCGACGAATCGTTGCAGAAAGCTGACATTGCGGCGCACCAGGTCGAACATCGGAACATCGACAACCCCGACGCCTGGCAGTACCTGCGCCTCTGCTGCTTCTGCCCTGGGCCCTCGAACTGCCGCGCTGTCACTTCCATCGCGTTCAAAAGCTTGACCAACATGTCTGGTGCCGCGCCGCTCCGAGGTGAGCCACTCGCCGTCGCGCAGCTCCATTCTGAATGGGTGGCTCGTAGATGATGAGCGCCGTCTCGACGCTCAGCATCGCCCTGCGGATGAACAACACCTCCCCGCATATCCACGCAACCCCTTTGCTCGTCATCGCCCCGAATTCCAAGAAGGAACCGCCACGTATATGATCAACGCCGTCCCGTCGGTGATTTGCTTGGTCCAAATGTGCAGCACTGGCCTGTCGACGATCCACGTGGCCACGTAGATGGCCTGTGCTTTCCCGGGGCACCGCGTCTCCCCGTAGATTGTCAAAGCCGCCCTGTAGGCCAGCGCCGCCCCGTGCAGCCCACATGGAATGCCAGCGCAGTCGCGACGCGCGACGCCCCGTTGATGAGCATCGCCACCCACGGGACGATTCGCATGGCCACGCGTGATCAGCGCTGCCCCTTGCACATCGCCGCCCCGAAGGCCAAGAGGAACACCGCGTAGATGATCAGCGTCGCCCCGTCGATGATCAGCTCCGCGCAGGTGCTCAGCGCCGCCTCGTCGATGATCAAAATGGCCACGTAGATATCCAACGTGCACTCGCCCTGAAGCTCAACGCCGCTCCGCTAAACATCCGAATGGCCACGTCGTTGATCGGCTCGGCCCGCATTCACAACATCGCCCCGAAAGCCAGGGGGAGAGCCGCGTCGATGATCGGCGCCGTAAATTATCGGCTCGGCCCCGGAGCTCAGCGCCGTTCCTTAGGTGATCCGCATGGTCACGTAGATAGCCAGCAGGTTCCCGGCGCTCACCCCGTGGATGATGACCCGCGCAGCCTCGCAGCCAAACGCCGCCCCGTAGAACGCGCCTCATCAACGCATTCAGAAAGCATCGTCTACGATATGATCTCTATAACTCGTCGGTGACCAGCCCGTCAGCTTGGGCGCCATCATCTTCAGAAAAAGCGCGCGTGCATCATCGCGCGGTTCTCGTGAGTGGACATCGACCGCATCAGTCTCGCATGTCAGGATACAGGGCGTTTTGAAGGCAAAAGGCGGGGCGCCAAAGTGTGGAAGACCATCGTTGTCATGCCGTGGGACTTTGTGCTAGGGACCAACCCGAGGATCATCCGCTTTAGAATGCCAAAGGTCGGCGCCACGAGAGCGAGAGGTTTCAGGCGAGTCGTCATCGCGCGTTTCACGACGATGCCGACGAGCATCATCATCATGATCATCATCAGTAGCAGCATCATCATCACCATCATCAACACCATCGCCATCGCCATCGCCACCGACATCATTATCATCACCGCCTGGACCCACGCCATGATTTACATCCGCCGCAAGGCCCATCCGCGGGAGAGCTCCAGATGGTCGCCTTCGCAACGCCGCTGCTGAACTGGTGACCCCTTTGTCACGGTGACCCATCGACGCGCGGCGACAGCAACGTTGAAAGTGTGGAAACGTCGTCGCCAAAGCGCCGCAAGTACATCAACTGCCCAACTATACTTCGAGCACGAAGCAACGCCGCACGTTCCGCGACCACCATGGCAGGGAAATGGGGAAAGCGCCCCTGTGGGCGCCTTGGGGCGCCCAAAGGCTTGCGTCAGCCAGCATGGGTCAATAGGCTATGATAAAGATGGTGATGGTGATGGTGACGCATGCAACATGCTCACACAACGCCCAGACGCGGCAAAGAACGCGCCGAGAAGCACATGAAGTACCGACCGTGAGAAGGGGAATATAGGTTCAGAGCCTTGGCTCATGCTAGCTCGTACCACACATGCACCACAACGCGGTGGCACCTCAAACATGAGCGACCCACCAACCCGGAAAGAAATCTCTCTCTCTCTCTCTCTCCTCTCTCTCTCTCTATATATATTGAAATGTGAGGCATGACAACGTTTCAAAGACACCTGATTGGGTGACGTGCGAATGCCACTGAGTGTATCGATCTTGATGTACTGTGCCGAGGGCTGTGCTGTGCCGCGCTGTGCTGAATTGCGATGTGGCATGCCGCAATTGTGCTCTATAGCGTTGTGGATCGTGTCCTCCTTTGCATCTGAGTCCCGACCGAACTGATATGGATCTTAAGCTAGAGCTGCCTCAGCACACAGTAGCTGCCCCAGAGCCAATTGACAAGGGAACATGCTAGGCGGAAGCTCCGCGGAACGTCCAATGGACGCGCGAGGGAAGCGTTACGGACCGTGCCAATGGACATGCCACGGGAAGTGCCAGGGGACGCGCCGCGCGACGTGCCAGGTGGACTCGCCACGGGACGCGCCAAGAAACGTGCCAAGGAACGTGCCAAACTGCATTGTTGAGTGTATCGATCTTGATGTACCGTGCCGAGGGCTGTGCTGTGCTGCGCCGTGCTGAATTGCGATGTGCCATGCCGCGGTTGTGCTCTATAGCGTTGTGGATCGAGTCCTCCCTGGCATCCGAGTCCTCACCGATCTTAAACTCGAGCTGCCCCAGCAGATGGTAGCTGCCCCCAGAGCTAATTGAAAGGGTGACATGCCAGGAGGACACGGCGCGGAACGTCTCAAGGGATGCGCCAGGCGACGTGCCAGGGGACGTGCCGCGGGGACGCACCGCGGGACGTGCATAATGGACGCGCTACGGAATGTGCCAATGGACGTGCCACCTCATGCTAGACACCCGCCTGGGCGAACCAGACACGTGAAAACAAGTGCCCCAGGAAGGAAGGCACCAGGAGGCCCATGTTAGATACCCCGAAGGTGGCCTGGACACGTTAAAGCACCTGGTTCCGCCATGTTAAATACCCCCTGGATGGCCTGGACACGTAAACACACGTGGGACCAGCTCTGGGCAACCATGTTAGATACACCACTGGGTGGCCTGGACACGTTAAAAAACGTGGTCCTTGCACGGGACAGCCATATTAGACATCTCCCCGGGTGGCCTGGACACGTGTAAACACATGGTCCTTGCTCGGGGCAATCATGTTAGATACCCCAGGGGTAGCCTGGGCACGTGAAAACACATGGTTCAAGCTCAGGAGACCCATGTTAGATATCCCCTTGGGTGGCCTGGACACGTAAAAACACGTGGATCCAGCTCGGGACAACCATGTTAGATACTCCCCCGGGTGGCCTGGACACGTAAAAACACTTGGTTCCAATTCGGGATAACCATGTTAGATACCCTCCTGGGCTGCCCGGACATGTAAAACATGATCGACCCACAACCCCGGAAAGGAATATAGAAGTGTAAGGCATGGCAACGTTTCAAAGACACCTGACTGTGCGACGGGCAAATGCAATGCTGAATGTATCGATCTTGATGTACTGTGCCGAGGGCTGTGCTGTGCTACGCCGTGCTGAACTGCGATGTGCCATGCCGCGATTATGCTCTATATATAGCGTTGTGGATCGAGTCCTCCCTGGCATCCGAGTCCTGACCGAACTGATCTGGATCTTAAGCTCGAGCTGCCTGAGCAGATGGTAGCTGCCCCAGAACGAATCGACAGAGGGGACATGCCAGGAGGACGCGGCGCGGAACGTCTCAAGGGACGCGCCAGGCGACGTGCCAGGGGACGTGCCATGGGGACGCACCGCGGGACGTGCCAAAGAGACGCGCTACGGAACGTACCAATGGACGTGCACCGCGCGACGTGCTAGGGGGACTCGCCACGGGACGCTCCGCGGAACGTGCCAGGCAACATGCCAGGCTGCAATGTTGAGTGTATCGATGTTGATGTACCGTGCCGAGGGCTGTGCTGTGCCTGGGCGACCTGGACACGTGAAAACAAACGTTTCGCTCATGACGTTCTCAGCACATCCTCATGCTAGACATCCGCCTGGGCCACCTGAACACGTGCAAACAAGCGTCTCGATCGAGCCTTCCTCGACACATCCTCATGCTAGACATCCGCCTGGGCGACGAGGACGCGTCAAACCAAGCGTCTCGCTCAAGACATCCTCAACAAATCCTGGCGCTAGACCTCTGTCTGGGCAACCTGGAGGCGTAAAACCAAGCGTCTCGCTCGAGACATCCTCAAGACCTGGGCACGTGAAAGCAAGCATTTCACTTGAGAGATCCTATGAATTCAGGTCCCAAGGAGAGGACAATCTAAAACACAAAACGAGCGTTTCGCTCGAGACATCCTCAACACATTCTGAAAACCAAACGTTTCGCTCGAGACATCCTCCAAAATAAAATCGCCAACCCTACGCGACCTCGATATTTATCGCAAAATAAATTCGCCGGCCCTACAGCCGTCAGAATCGGGGGTAAACGCAATATAAGAAAACCCTGGGCCCCAACCCTTTCCGGGAAGAAACACATGGTTCCAGCTCGGTACCCCCCTGCGTGTCCCGCTCGAGACATCCTCGCAATGTCTTCCCTGGCGAGGCCCCCAAAGCGCCACCACCTGTCCAAATCAAGAGGGCATCACTGTTCTGTATTGGGATATGTGCTCGGATACCGCTTTTCGGCTCCCCGTGCGTTTCCTGATAAATCGGCGTTGGGCCCGACGTCATGTTAGGTACCCCCCTGGGCAGCCTGGACACGTAAAAACACATGGCTCCAGCACAGGACCACCATGTTAGATACCCCCCTGGGTGGCCTGGACACATGAAAACACGTGGTTCCGGCGCAGGACCACCATGTTAGATCCCTCCTGGGTGGCGTGGACATGCAAAACATGATCGACCCACGAACCCGGAAAATAATATAGAAATGTAACGCATGGCAACGTTTTCAAAGACACCTGATTGGGTGACGGGCAAGTGCAATGCTGATTGTATCGATCTTGATGTACCGTGCCGAGGGCTGTGCTGTGCTGCACCGTGCTGAATTGCGATGTGCCATGCCGCGGTTGTGCTCTATAGCGTCGTGGATCGAGTTCCTTTGCATCCGAGTCCTGACCGAACTGATCTGGATCTGAAGCTCGAGCTGCCTGAACACATAGTAGCTGCCCCAGAGCTAATTGACAGGGGGACATGCCAGGAGGACGCGCCGCGAAACGTCCCAAGGGACGCGCCAGGCGACGTGCCAAGGGACGTGCAATGGGGTCGCACCGTAGGACGTGCCAAGGGGACGCGCTACGGGACATCCTCAAAATTCCTGCGCGCGGGACGCGGCCCGCGCGAGACATCCTTGGAATTCCTGCGAGCGGGACACGAAAACAAGCATTTCGCCTGCGACATCGTCTGAATTCTGGCCCCCCACGAGACATCCCCAAATGTTGCAAAAACAGCGTTTCGCTCGAGACATCCTCAACAAATTGTGAAACACAAGCGTTTCGCTCGAGACTTCCTGCCAAAATTCTAAAACATCCTGACAAAACAAGCGAATTAGTCGAGACATCCTCGAAATTCTTGCGCGCGGGACGCGGCACACGCGAGACATCCTCGGAATTCCTGCGCGCGGGGCGCTTTTCCGCGTCGCGGTCGGGGCTCCAGACACCGTTATTTGTCGAGGATTCTGCGAAAAACGCTCCGCACTTTCTTTTTCCCCACATGCTTCGTGGGGTTCTGGTTTTCTTCCCACCCGCGCCGCACCCGCGTCTCACCCACACCCGCATTCCTCCCCTCCTCCTCCTCCCCCTCCTCCTCACGCACACAGCACAGCGCAGCGCAGCGCAGCGCAGCACAGCACAGCACAGCACAGCACATCACAGCGCACGCAGCACAGCACAGCACAGCACAGCACAGCACAGCACAGCACAGCACAGCACAGCACAGCACAGCACAGCACAGCACACACACACACACACACACACACACACCACAGGGGGTGCGCAAGGGGTGGTCTCTCAGTGCGGTCTCTATCCGTCGCACGCTCGCAACGCACGGCAGGCGTAGCAGCTCCTCGACACCAAGGGGGTGCGCAGGGGGTGCGGTCTCTATCCGTCGCACGCTCGCAAAACGCGGCAGGCGTTGTTATCGACGCGAGAAAGGGTGCGCAGGGTGTGCGGTCTCTATCCGTCGCACGCTCGCACAACGCGGCGGGCGTGGCAGTTCCTCGACACCAGAGGGGGGGCGCAGGGTGTGCGGTCTGTACCCGTCGCACGCTCGCAAAACGCGGCGGGCGTAGCAGTTCCTCGACACCAGGGGGGGTGCGCAGGGGGTGCGGTCTCTATCCGTCGCACGCTCGCAAAGCGCGGCAGGCGTGGCATTTCCTCGACACGAGAGGGGGTGCGCAGTTGGTGCGGTCTGTATCCGTCGCACGCTCGCAAAGCGCGGCAGGCGTGGCATTTCCTCGACACCAGGGAGGTGCGCACGGGGTGCGGTCTCTATCCGTCGCACGCCCGCAAAGCGCGGCAGGCGTGACATTTCCTCGACACCAGGGGGGTGCGCAGGGGGTGCGGTCTCTATCCGTCGCACGCTCTATCCGTCGCACGCTCGCAAAGCGCGGCAGGCGTGGTAGTTCATCGACACGGGAGGGGGTGCGCAGTTGGTGCGGTCCCTATCCGTCGCACGCTCGCAAAGCGCGGCAGGCGTGGCATTTCCTCGACACCAGGGGTGCGCAGGGGTGCGGTCTCTATCCGTCGCACGCTCGCAAAGCGCGGCAGGCGTGACACCAGGGGGGTGCGCAGGGGTGCGGTCTTTCGCTCGAGCGCGGCACCAGGGGGGGTGCGCAGGGGGTGCGGTCTCTATCCGTCGCACGCTCGCAAAGCGCGGCAAGCGTGGCATTTCTTCGACACCAGGAGGGTGCGCATGGGATGCGGTCTCTATCCGTCGCACGCTCGCAATGCGCGGCAGGCGTGGTAGTTCATCGGCACGAGAGGGGGTGCGCAGTTGGTGCGGTCTGTATCCGTCGCACGCTCGCAAAGCGCGGCACGCGTGGCATTTCCTCCACACCAGGGGCGGACGCAGGGGGCGCGGCCTCTATCCGTCGAACGCTCGCAAAGCGCGGCAGGCGTGGTAGTGCATCGACACGAGAGGGGGTGCGCTGGGGGTGCGGTCTCTATCCGTCGCACGCTCGCAAAGCGCGGCAGGCGTGGCATTCCTTCGACACCAGGGATGGGCGCAGGGGGTGCGGTCTCCATCCGTCGCACGCCCGCAAAGCGCGGCAGGCGTGACATTTCCTCGACACCAGGGGGTGCGCAGGGGGTGCGGTCTCTATCCGTCGCACGCTCGCAAAGCGCGGCACGTGGTGGCATTTCCTCGACACCAAAAGGGGGTGCGCAATTGGCGCGGTCTCTATCCGGCGCACGCTGGCAAAGCGCGGCAAGCGTGGCATTTCTTCGACACCAGGGGGGGTGCGCAGGGGATGCGGTCTTCATCCGTCGCACGCTCGCAAAGCGCGGCAGGCGCGGTAGTTCATCGACACGAGAGGGGGTGCGCAGGGGGTGCGGTCTCTGTCCGTCGCACGCTCGCAAAGCGCGGCAGGCGTGGCATTTCCTCCACGCCAGGGGGGGCGCAGGGGGGGCGGTCTGCATCCGTCGCACGCTCGCAAAGCGCGGCAGGCGTGGTAGTTCATCGACACGAGAGGGGGGGTGCGCAGGGGTCGCACGCTCGCAAAGCGCGGCAGGCGTAGCAGTTCCGCGGCAGGCAAACACATAAGACTTAAATCAAGTATGTGGGGTTCCTCGGTAGCGTAATTTACAAGGGAAAGCGGGGGTCTGCGGACTCCGTGTTTTATCGAGGATCCGCGATGGGGGGCGCACTTTCCTCGAGCGGGCACGCACGAAACGTTTTTTTACAACAACAAAAAACACTTCACCACGTTATTTACGCAGAATAAGTTCGCCGGCCCTCTTCAAGTCAAAACCGGGGGTGAACCCACTAAAAGAGAACCCTGGACCGGCGCCCTTTCCGGGAAACACGTGGTTCCAGCTCGGGACCACCATGTCAGATACCTCCTGGGCGGCCTGGACACGTGAAAACACATGGTTCCAGCTCGGGACCACCACGTTAGATACCTCCTGGGTGGCCTGCACACGTGAAAACAAATGGTTCCAGCCCACCCAGGGGAGATATCCAACATGCGGTCGTCTAGGGCGCCAGCCAGGGGCAGCCACGTTAGATGCACCCTGGGCGACATGGGCACGTGAAAACAAACATTTCCCCTGAGACATCCTCTGTATTCTGGCCCCCGGCGAAGCCCCCGCTCGAGACATCCCCCAACTCTGCAAAACCAGCGTTTCGCCTGAGACATCCTCAAGGCATGTATAAAACACGCGTTTCGCTCGGGACATCCTCAATTTTTCCACGTCGAATGGGACTTTACCACGTTATTTACCGCAAGTGATTTCGCAAGCAGAAACAGGAGGGACCATAACTGAAAGAGAACCCTGGACCCGCGCCCTTTCCAGGAAAAGCCAACCTTCCTTATGCAAAACAAGCGCGGGGCTCGAGACATCCTCGAAATTCCTGCGCGAGGGGCGCGCCATCCTCGAGCGGGCACGCGAAACATAAACTTCTCCATGCTCTCAAAACGGCCCGTCGATGATTTCAATGTCTCCATACCTCGCTATTTAGTGTGGATTCTGTGCAAAACGCTCCGCACCCTCTTCCTTTACAAAGGAAAGCGGGGGTCTGCGGACTCCGCCAGGCAACGAAGATCCGACATGGGGGGCGCATTTGTCCCACGCCGACTGGGACTTTACCTTGTTATTTCTCGCAAATGATTCCGCCGGCCTCCTTCAAGTCGAGGCGGGGGGGGGAACCCACTGAAAGAGAACCCTCGGCCTAAGCCCTTTCTGGGAAAAAGGCACCCCCCCTCTGTCCATCCCCATCTGGGAGGGCGCGCGCATGTAAAACGCAGCATGCAACGCGTGGCCTTCTGCGGAAGCTGTCGGCCACGCGCCAGCTTGGCAACGCTCGAGCTCGACGACAGGTAACAGTATGCGAATTGGCCAGTGGACACACGGTGGTGGAAGACTACATGCTTCTCCCCCCCACTCCTCCACATCCTGCGCGCAAGCGGGAGAGCATGAGTGCGCCAACTCCTCTCAGAGGTCAACGTCTAGCACGAGACCTTTGGCTCCGTCCCCGGAGGCGCTCCTCGAGAACATGGCCCCAGCTTCCTGGTAATCACCTACGGGTTTGTTCGAAGCAATTGGTCTTCCCCTGCAACGAAGTCAGCTCCATCCAGTCGAACGGGTTGGACTGCTTGGGACGGCACAGCGCGGTGAGAAGGCGATCCGCGATTCGATGCACCGTGTCATAAGGTCGTTGTTCATACCGATGAGGCCACAAGACAGCGCGTCACAGATGAAGACGCGTTCGGGCCTCCACCGCGCCGCGGCCGATGGCGTGGATCACGTCCTTTGGCAAGGGGTCCTGGAGTTTCCCGCAAAGCGGGCGCGCGAACTCGGCGCGCAGGCCTTTGCCCCGTGATATCAGTTCGCTTGAGAGCGCCAAGCCCGGCCGGCATCAGCCCGTGCTTCTTCGGCCAATATATCGCGCAAAACAAACCACAGAACAATAGTTCTGCCCTCCGCAGCCGCAAAGACAACGAGCCGCTCGGCGAAACTGTTTTCGTGGGTCATCCACTGCGCTGCCCACTCTGCCTTCTCCTGGATCGCTGGCGTTGTATGCGTCGCATCGAAGACCATATCCTTTTTCTGCCGGATCACTGATGCACTGCTCAAGCAGGAAGGACTGCGTTTCGGAATGGGTGTTCTCCATGGCCACTTGGAAGCCGAAAGAGGCACGCGCCTCTGGCGACTGGACCTCAGCGGCGAACTGGACGGCCAAATTCTCGCAAATCTCGATCATGATCCCGTCATAGGCAACGAAGAACGAGAACGCGTGCTTGATTGAGTACCAGTCCCGGAGGTCCTGCGTGGGCACGATCTCTTCTGCCGATCAGAAGATGCAGCGTGCTTCTTATACATCGCCCCATCGCCCCATTGTCGCGGTGAATGATTGGGAACGTCGCCCAGCGCTGAGAGTTCTCCTGCAAGAGAAGCTCGGACTCATCGAGCTCGCGATGCTCGGCGGAGACGCGGCTGACCGCGGCCGTCACGGCAGCTCGGGCTGGCGGAGCCATCCTTCACAGCGAAGACTTCCACTGCCAGAAGTACGGGCTCATGGGGACCACAAGCCCGAAATGGCTTAAGCTGGAACGGCTTGATGCAAAGGCTACGGATGATGGTGATGGCGGCGACCATGATAATGATGATGATGATGATGATGAGGACGAGGAGGACGAAGATAATGCGGATTTTGGTGATACTGATGCTCATGGTGATGGTGGTGGCGATGGCGATTGTGATGGTGATGGTGATGATGATGATGCTGATGATGGTGATGACGATGGCGACGCCGACATAATCGACCCACGAACCCGGAAACGAATATAGAACTGTAACACATGGCAACGTTTTTCAAAGACACCTGATTGGGTGACGGGCAAATGCAATGCTGAGTGCATCGATCTCGATGTACCCTGCCGAGGGCTGCGCTGTGCTGCACCGCGCTGAATTGCGATGTGCCATGCCGCGGTTGTGCTCTATAGCGTCGTGGATCGAGTCCTCCTTTGCATCCGAGTCCTGACCGAACTGATCTGGATCTTAAGCTCGAGCTGCCTGAACACACAGTAGCTGCCCCAGAGCTAATGGACAGGGGAACATGCCAGGAGGACGCGCCGCGAAACGCCCCAAGGGACGCGCCAGGCGACGTGCCAGGGGACGCGCCATGGGGTCGCACCGTAGGACGCGCCAAAGAGACGCGCTACGGAACGTGCCAATCGGCGAGGGCAGGCGCGTGATCATGGACAGCCCCCGCTTCCACTACCTGCGCAACCAGTTCGGTGACCGTCGGGCCCCCGATGCGACCCGCTTCGCGTGCGCCACGTTCGCGCTCGAAGACGAGGAGCTAGCAAAACTTGTCGAACCGATCAAGGGCCAGGACAGCAGCACGGAGGCGTTGGCTTACATGTTCGACGGAGCCATCATGTCCACGCCCGCTGGCCCCGCAAAGATCCAGTCGGGGATCGACGCGTACGAAGGCACCAGCCAGGGCATCAGCGCCATCGCGAAGCCGTTCGCAAGCTTCGACGAGTGAGCGTCGCATCCAGAGCGCTGTCTTCTCGTGGGCGGCCAATCCATATGTCGAGAGCTACGGTATCTCAACTTTGTTGTGCGAGAAAATGCAACACCTCCTAAGCGGAACCGATCTCGCCGACCGAGCGACTCCCCCCCGTACCATCGGTTCTCAGCGTTTCTGGCCGTGGTCCGAGCAACGTTCGGGTATGTGGGAGACGCCATGCGCGGCGTGCGCTTCGGTGTCGTGTTATTTTTCGTTGCGATTTCCGAGCATGCGCGTTCGGCAAGATCGATTGGTTTACAACTTGTCGCACTTTTATCGTTGCATGCGCAGACGGTAAGCATCGCTGTGAGATCTTACAGGCCCACTGAATTTACACGAGCTGGGCGGTCATTGCTGGGCGGTCATTGCTTTCAGAGAGCAGCGGCGCGTGCTTCCATGCGAACCAGCGTAGCGCAGCATCCATGTTGTTGCATTATCCGTAGCATGTTGCTTTAAGTGCACTGCCAGAGGGTTTGCAGACAATGCTACCTGTGTATTCGTGCCTCCTCAGGAAATGCGCCACCAAGGGGTGCAATGACAATCTCTTTGAAGACACCAACGCTGACTGCACCGCAACTGTTGTGGGGCCTAGCGGCGTCGACCAGGTCTCATTGCAGCGATCAAGATGCAGCGCGTGTCGCACAACGTATAGGGGCAATTGCACGCGGGCGTTCGGAAAGAAAAACGCGCTCACCCACGAGCAGATGGAAGAAGCAGGCGTCTACTTCACAACGGCCAACATCGGCTTCAGCATGGACTACCTGCGCGTCACCAAAATGCGGTTGTTGTTCGGCCGGCTGCGTCCTGGCCAGGTCGGGCATTCTCAGAAGCGTTCCTGGGCACATACCCACCCCCATTTTTGGTTGGACAGATTAAGGCCCACTGGGCATTTTTCCCCTTGGAATTGCAGAAACGTGCGGCGCGCCAAATCTCATTAAAAAGCTTAGGTGGTGTTTGACTCAGGAACTCCCCGGCGATGCCAGACAAGGAATCCGCCGTCACCCGTACGTTCTTTGAGAACTGCAGCGACATACCGTCTGTAGTCTCGTTGAGGGATCATCTGCTCCACGCATTGGAAGGCGTCGCGGTGACTGAGAGTGCGCTCGGGGAGACAGCGCAGTTCGACGTGGAGTATCCAGCACACAGCGTGTGCAACGACAGAAAGGTCATCACCTTCCAGCCGCCAACGGGCATCAAGGTGAAGGCGCTCGCATTCGACGGCCACTTCGGCGTGTTCCGAGCTCTCGAGAAGGGCGCGGACGAGCGCGCGAAGCCCTTGGCTCATGTGAATCGCAAGAGCTTCAAGATGATTGAGCGCGAGGCACGGGTGGCTCCATGTGCCTCCAAGCATTCTGAGAGGGCGCGGATCCCCAACCGCGCAGGCGGATGGCAGTTCTTGCTGGATGGGGGGCGCGCCGACGTGCTCGCCGCAAAGGAACACATGAATAACGAGTGCCAGGAGGACAAGCACCAGTGCATCCAGGCGGTTTGCACTCTTCCGGGAGTCTGGTTTGATGTATTCGTGTATGACGACATGTGTTCCTTCAAAGCATGGGCAAAGAAGAGGCATAAGCAGTTCTATGGTAGCATTAAGCACTGGTGCGTGGACGAGTTCCATCGACCGAATCACAAGTGCGACTGCCCCTGCCGTCGCGTTACACCTGCCGCCAAAAAGCGTCTCGACGAGGTCAACACGTCGTGCGCGGAGCAGTTCAACTCCTTCATCAGACGCTTCAACTTATTCCTGAACAGCCTGCGCCCAAGCTCTCATCGCCTGTGGGTAAAGGAAACCATTAGCCACTGGAACAGCCGCGAGGAGAGCATCAGAGGCATTGCATTTCCCCGAAAGCGCCGCCATGCAGCTCAACGGGTGGCGACCAAGAAGGCCGTCACGAAGAAGCCCGCGCGCGCCACTTTTCTCAGCAAGTGCCGCATGACCAAGAAGGCCGTGATGAAGACGCCCGCGCGCCAATGAGCAACTTGTGTTACTGGGTCTAGGCGCGCCTTAATCGGGCATTGTAACCGTTTTATATGTTGGGGTTTTGGTTACAGGGGGAGCTCTGAAACGCGCTCCAGACTTCCGACGGAAGAAAAAACGGCCACTTCCACCTCTTCTTTCTCTCTCTCTCTCTCTCTCTCTCTCTCTCTCTCTCTCTCTCTAACCTCTCTCTCTCTCTCTCTTTCTCTATTTCTCTCTTTTTTTCTCTCTCTCTCTCTCTCTCTCTCTCTCTCTCTCTTTCTCTCTCTCTCTCTCTGCTCTCCAAGTGCTCACTCCCTGCTTCGCCCACTTCCCTTTACCTTCCCCTCCTCCTCCTCCTCATCACCATCATCATCCTCATCTTCCTCCACCTCCATCAAAAAGGCTCAAGTTCTCACAGCGTTCCCCTCTCGGGCCGCGAGGCCTGGGCGATCCTGGGAGCCCCCCTGGCTTGTCTGCATACATTACCTCTCTGTGTATTGCGCGCTGAATTTCTGCTGCGTGGCATTGAATGAGTTTCTCGGCGCAACGTCGTACGATAGCCCTGGGGCACAGCAGGCCTTGAGGACAGAGATTGATCTTGAACACTGGGGAGAAAACACTGTCGAGTGGTTTCGCCGTCAAGAGAATTTTGATAATACCGTCAGGGGCCTATCGGGACGAGAGGATAAATTTCGGTTGTTTTGAGGAATATCAACCTTGGGATCGGAAAGATTTGCAGGCACTGGAGGCTGCTTCGAACAAGCGACAACGAGAAGACGATAAGAATTGGTTCGGCAGATACGGTGTGGACGGAAGTATTCTTGAAAGTATGACTCATGTTGTTGGAGCTGCAGCGGTGGATGCCGCGATGACAAATGAGAAGGGGAATCGATCGAAACGTGCTCGGGGGCAAGAGATTGAACGGGAGAGAAGTTTGATGCTGGCACAGAAGACGGGTCCTTTCAAACAGATGATGATGAAACATGTCTGGAAAACGGAGGACGCACATGAGGATCCCATTCATGTTGTTCAATCGACTAAGACGGACATCGAACGAGTAGATGACACACTGAAGCCACATACGGAACGAATGGACAAAGCGGATGCACGCACGGATATCCCGGAAAAGCAAATTGAACAACTATTAGCTGGGTCTCCCGCAGCCTCGGTCTCGACAAGTGTTGGCCCAGTCGGGTCCTCTGCAGGTGGTGGCGGTGGCGCGGCCCCTCGTTATCAACAGGATAGGCCGAGCCAATTTACACCAACTTATATTGAACAGAAAGGCCAGGAGGCCTCGGGAACCTCGCCGCAATGTGATCCGCCAGAGCGCCAGGCAGCACCGATGATGCCGCCCGCCGGCCCAGGCAGGATCGACGGTTTTTCCACTCGGAGGCTCGCTGGAGCTCCAAATGTCTTGAGCCAAGATGGGCACGGTGTTTTGCCCATGCCCTCTGCTCCCCGTGGCCATGCTGATGCTACATGCGTGCTGGGACTGGCGTTACAAGGGCGCTGCGAAGCGAGGAGGCGGTCGGATACCAGCCACACTCCACGCGTCGCACGCCCTCCGCGCGACCTGGAACCAGGACTCGCACGTCTGCTTCACAGCCCTGATGGGCGGCCCGGACCCGAAAGGCGGCTGGATTCCAGCCACACTCCCGGGGCCAAGCCGCCCGGCTGATGCTCGTAGGTCTACTCAGGGCCAGGCTTTGGCCCAGGAGGAAGCTTTGCCTTTATGGGTCCATTACGCCTGTCCGCTTGTCTCCAGCGAATCACTGCCCTAATTTCCGCCCCGGGAAAAGGGTTCAAATCTGTACCGACGGCATGTCTCGCCGGAGAAAATAAATCGCACCCGAACAGAAGTTCACAGGGCGTGGCACACAGGAGCTAATTTATATAACATACAAAATGGCCCCCAGAATGCTCTCGGCGTGGCGCGTTGCGTTGCACCGTCGCGCCGGCATCTTGCCCCTCGCACCAGCGTGTCTTCCGGCCGTTTTAGCTCGCGGAGGCACTCTTTCGCTACACCGGCAGAGAGCGGCGGGTCTTTGGCAGAGCGGCAGAGACCACAGTGTGGTCCCAGAAAATCGAGGCCCCCAGAATGCTCTCGGCGAGGCGCGTTAATTATATTATACAATTTGAAATACAGTGCCATTTGCAAGTAGGCCTATGGAAACACGTCATGTAATCAGTCACCGCTGGGTGAGGTGATGGGCGTCTCAGGTGCCAAACAGAAATTGCTGCAGTTATCTGTGGCATCATTTCGCAATATGTTCAAATCCGTTCCTCGGACACCTGCAAGGCTCCCTCGGAGAGAGCTTTCCATCTCAGATCGATGTTTGAGGGTCCCGCAACGGAAACGGCCGCCAGATGTGGAAATCGACGGAAACTCTCGGAAGCGAACTTCGATCCTCGAGGCTCCAGCCTCGACCTGACTCCCCTTCAGCGGTGGTGGAGCGAGCTATGGGCGAGACGCGTGCAGCGAGGAGGTGAGGGCCTGAAGGAGACGACGGACGAGGACGAGGACGAGGACGAGGACGAGGACGAGGACGCCGAGAAAGTGCCACGCCTGCTATGCCTGGACGACTGGGGCGTACAGAGACCGCGGTGAGAGACCACCCCCTGCGCACCCCCTGTGGTGTCGAGAAGGTGCCACGCCTGATATGCCTGGACGACTGGGGCGTACAGAGACCGCGGTGAGAGACCACCCCCTGCGCACCCCCTGTGGTGTCGAGAAGGTGCCACGCCTGCTATGCCTGGACGACTGGGGCGAGAGACCGCGGTGAGAGACCCCCCTGCGCACCCCCTGTGGTGTCGAGAAAGGTGCCACGCCTGCTATGCCTGGACGACTGGAGCGTATAGAGACCGCGGTGAGAGACCACCCCCTGCGCACCCCCTGTGGTGTCGAGAAAGTGCCACGCCTGCTATGCCTGGACGACTGGGGCGTATAGAGACCGCGGTGAGAGACCACCCCCTGCGCACCCCCTGTGGTGTCGAGAAAGTGCCACGCCTGCTATGCCTGGACGACTGGGGCGTATAGAGACCGCGGTGAGAGACCACCCCCTGCGCACCCCCTGTGGTGTCGAGAAAGTGCCACGCCTGCTATGCCTGGACGACTGGGGCGTATAGAGACCGCGGTGAGAAACCATGTGCAAGATAAATTAAAGGAGTTTCTGTGGAACTACCGTCATCCTCACCCCCGGCGCGGGGAGCAGAGGAGCCCAGAGCGGCCTCCGGCACCGTTTCCGGACAGATCCGGTGGATCCGCCGACGAATCCCAAACCGGCGCCCTCGCTTGAGACATCCTCACAAAACCGGCCCCGGGGGCGGTGCCCAGAGGAGCCCAGAGCGGCCTCCGGCACCGTTTCCGGACAGATCCGGTGGATCCGCCGACGAATCCCAAACCGGCGCCCTCGCTTGAGACATCCTCACAAAACCGGCCCCGGGGGAGGAGCCCCAGTCACCAGGAGGCCCCAGGAGGCCCCGGGAGGCTCACGCAACGCGGAGCTCTGAGACGCCGCGCTCGAGGTGGTCCGGCCCGTTTCGCCTGAGACTTCATCGCAGCACGTTTCGCCCGAGACATCGTCGCAACTCTGGGGTCCGAGATGCCGCGCAAGAGGTGGTCCAGCCCGTTTCGCCCGAGACATCCTCGCAACTCTGGGCTCCGAGATGCCCTGCGCGAGGTGGTCCGGCCCGTCTCGCCTGAGACATCCTCGCAACTCTGAGCTCTGAGATGCCGTGCGCAAGTTGGTCCGGCGTGCTTCGCACAAGATATTCTCGCAACTCTGAGCTCCCAGATGCCGCGCAAGAGGTGGTCCAGCCTGGGGACCCAGAAGACCACATGTTACATATCCTCCCCTGGGACCCTGGGAGCCCCAGGAGGCCCCAGAGAGCTTCAGGAGGCCGCAGGACGCCCAGGACAGCCCCCAGGGGTCCGCAGGAGATTCCCAGGAGGCTCCCAGGAGGCTCCCAGGAGGCCCCCTATCAGAACGTGTCAAGTTAATACACATCCGATGCCGATTCGTTGATTTTTCCTGCTCTTGTGGCCCCCTCCCCATTTTGGGGGGCCCCGACGGCCACATGTTAGATATCCCCCCCTGGGAGCCCCAAGAGGCTTCAGGAAGCCCCAGGCGCGGTCCAGGAGACCCGTTTCGCCTGAGACTTCCTCGCAGCACGTTTCGCCCGAGACATCGTCGCAACTCTGGGGTCCGAAATGCCGCGCGCGAGGTGATCCAGACCGTCACGCTAGAGACGTCCTCGCAACTCTGGGCTCCGAGATGCCCTGCGCGCGCGAGGTGGTCCGGCCCATCTCGCCTGAGACATCCTCGCAACTCTGAGCTCTGAGATGCCGTGAGCAAGGTGGTCCAGCCCGTTACGCTGGAGACATCCTCGCAACTCTGGGCTCCAAGATGCCGTTCGGGATGAAGAGGAGGTGGAGGAGGAGGAGGAGGAGGAGGAGGAGGAGGAGGCATGTTTTAACATGACATGCCAGCCCGCACTGGACAGGCACGCAATCGACCTTGGAAACCGCAGTGGGTCTAAAAACCCTGTTTGGGGATACTGCACTCCGGCTATAATGCCTTCTGCTTCCTGTTCGCAGGGCGCTCCCGCTCCGTTCCGGCACGCCCTTCACAAATTCCGTGGCCCCCCAGGGAGCCCCTCCGAAGGCGGAGTGGCAAGGTTCGCAGGGCGCTCCCGCTCCATTTCGGCACACTCCTCACAAGTTCCGTGGCCCCCCAGGGAGCTCCACCGAAGGCGCAGTGGCTTGGTTCGCACGGCGCTCCCGCCCCTTTTTGGCACACCCCTCACACGTTGCGTGGCCCAGTCGGGAGCTCCACCGAAGGCGCAATGGCAGGGTTCACAAGGCGCTCCCGCTCCATTTCGACATAACCCTCACATGTTCCGTGGCCCGCCAGGGAGCTCCACCGAAGGCGCAGTGGCAGGGTTCGCAAGGCGATCCCGCCCCATTTCGGCATACCTTCAAACTTTTCGTGACCCCGTAAGGAGCTCCACCAAAAACTGCACGCAGAATGAGGCATCCACGAATTCATCGTGCTGGGCCTGTCGCCGGGGTACTTTGTTTGATTGCTTTCGATATTTTCTTGTTTCGCTCTCTCCCTTTCTCTCTCTCTCTAGATCTTGGGATGGGTACCGATGGGGAGGGGGGGAGCTTGCAGAGACACGGGGGCGCGGAGTGGGGCGAAGACGATGACCAGAACCACGAGGATCAGGAGTCTTTTTCTCACACCTCGCAAGGATGAGGCGACAAAATGAGTCCCACACACCTTTCAAGAACGCAGTCCGCTTACGCCCGAGAGTGTCAGGGGCCAAACGCCTGCAGACAGCGTTCATGGCGTGCTTGCGCTGAAAGAACCACAATGGATTGTGTTCTCAGCAGAAGGTGCCGGGGATGCAGCGGCCAGCACTGTACATGAGCTGCTACCTTGGGCTGCAGCTCGCTGGCCATTGCTGCGTGAAAATGCGCTGCTACCTTGGGCTACGACGACGAGGCCCCCGAGGAGGCCCGAAGGGCTGCCCCGCTCTCCGCTCGGCGGTCACTACCTTCTCTGCTCCGCTTCGCGCGCTGGTCTCGCCTCGGCCTCGGCCTCCGAGTGCCCCCACCCGACGCCGCCCGTCCTCCCCGCGGTTTGGTCTGAGCTCGACGCCGAGTCGCGCGTCAGCGGGCCGTTAAATACCGAATGCGCCAGAGACACGACAAGAAAAATGTGCATAAGCTTTCGAAAGTCATCTCGCACATTCCTCCTCCTCCTCCTCCTCCTGCTCCTTCTCCTCCTCCTTCTCCTCCTCGTTCTCCTCCCGAGTCCTCGTCCTCCTCCTCCTCCTTTTCCTCCTCCTCCTCCTCCCCCTCCTCATCTTCCTCCTCCTCCTCCTCCTCCTCCGCCTTCGCCTCCTCCGCCTCCTCCGCCTCCTCCGCCCCCTCCGCCTCCGCCTCCTCTGCCTCCTCCGCCTCCGCCGCCTCCTCCTCCTCTTCCTCCTCTTCTTTTTCTTAGTATTAATATTATCCGTCTTCGTCTTAATATTATTATTCTTCGTCGGCGTCGTATTAGTCTTCTTCTTAGTCTTCTTCGTATTCGTCTTCCCCCTCCTCCTCCTCCTCCTCCTCCTCCTCCTCCTCCTCCTCCTCCTCCTCCTCCTCCTCCCTAGGGGGAAACTGCGACGACGACAGACGACGACGACGACGACGACGACGACGACGACGACGACGACGACGACGACGACGCCCGGGACAGGTCGGGAGGATCTCATCCTCGACATGGGCCCCAACCCAGAAGAGAAGAACTGAGCATAATATGGAAGCACGACGCAGCAGTGGGTGAACGTATGCTTCAGGCTTTTTCTTACAGCTGGCACCACAATATCGTGAACGGATTATTGCCAGCATTCAGGCTCTGATCGTCTCAGAACACAAAAGACACACGCACGCCCTCCACACTCAAAATCGACTGATGTGGTGGAGGCGTTCTCAGGCCCGTCTACAAGCTGATCGTGTTCCGGCACTTCTGACTGGGCGCGACCGCCGCGGTGTGGTCGTCCATGCCGAGGATGCCGCCCACGACATAGCCTGCACGCTTCAAATTGCGTACGAATACATTCAGGTAGACGATGCCACTCTTGGTGTGGCCATGCACGACCTTCAACTCCACCTTGCCGTATCGCAACCAACGCGGGTGCTTCTTCTTGGCGACACTGTTGGCGCTGAAGACACGGCCCTTGGTGCGAACCCATGTTCCCGTAAGGTTCACCGACTGGAAGTACACGTCCGCGCACGCCGCGCCCATCTGCCGCGCCTCCGCCTCGACGCTTAGAAGGGCGGCATTGCGCTGGGCGCCCCGCGGAATCCGCACCAGCGTGTGCCATCCCTCCCTGTGGAGGTCGAATCGCTGTCCGAACAGGTTGGTGAGGTGAGGATCACCTGTCGCGCTCACCGTGGGGCTGGCCGTCGGGCTCGGGGTCGGGCTTGCCGTGGGGCTGGCCGTCGGGCTCGCGGTCGGGCTCGCCGTCGGGCTGGCCGTGGGGCTGGCCGTGGGGCTGGCCGTTGGGCTGGCAGTCGGACTGGCCGTTGGGCTGGCCGTGGGGCTGGACGTGGGGCTGGCCGTGGATGTGTCGGCGCATTCGTAGGAGCTACACAGCTTGAACGTGTTCCCGCTGATTGTATTTGACGACGAACCAGTGCAATACGAATCTCCGCAGCCGATAATGTGAGACGACGTGAAAACACTGTATTGCATACCGTAGTAATACACCTCGTCACCTAAATAAATCGGAGTACCATCGCTGACAGCTGAACCACTGGATAACTTGATGATGCGGTACGGTGTTCCCCAGTGTCCGCTCGGCGGCGGGTAGGGCTTATCGGTGCACCCCCCATGTGCACAGTCATACACATGGCCTGATTGCTTGTTGTGCCACGCCACCACGTCCCCCGAGAGCAGCGCACTGGTGGTAGACGTCCAGGCGCTGCCGTCGCCCAAACAGGCAGCGGCGTCAGTTCCAGAGCACTTGCGCATATACCACACTTGCGCATCAGATCCCGATGCTGGGTCCATCCCTGAACCCCACGTAACAAACTCGCCTCCTTTCTGCATGTAGATGCCAGTCTCCGGCAGCAGGGCGTCGGGGCATTCGTAGGAGCTACACAGCTTGAACGTGTTCCCGCTGATTGTATTTGACGACGAACCAGTGCAATACGAATCTCCGCAGCCGATAATGTGAGACGACGTGAAAACACTGTATTGCATACCGTAGTAATACACCTCGTCACCTAAATAAATCGGAGTACCATCGCTGACAGCTGAACCACTGGATAACTTGATGATGCGGTACGGTGTTCCCCAGTGTCCGCTCGGCGGCGGGTAGGGCTTATCGGTGCACCCCCCATGTGCACAGTCATACACATGGCCTGATTGCTTGTTGTGCCACGCCACCACGTCCCCCGAGAGCAGCGCACTGGTGGTAGACGTCCAGGCGCTGCCGTCGCCCAAACAGGCAGCGGCGTCAGTTCCAGAGCACTTGCGCATATACCACACTTGCGCATCAGATCCCGATGCTGGGTCCATCCCTGAACCCCACGTAACAAACTCGCCTCCTTTCTGCATGTAGATGCCAGTCTCCGGCAGCAGGGCGTCGGGGCATTCGTAGGAGCTACACAGCTTGAACGTGTTCCCGCTGATTGTATTTGACGACGAACCAGTGCAATACGAATCTCCGCAGCCGATAATGTGAGACGACGTGAAAACACTGTATTGCATACCGTAGTAATACACCTCGTCACCTAAATAAATCGGAGTACCATCGCTGACAGCTGAACCACTGGATAACTTGATGATGCGGTACGGTGTTCCCCAGTGTCCGCTCGGCGGCGGGTAGGGCTTATCGGTGCACCCCCCATGTGCACAGTCATACACATGGCCTGATTGCTTGTTGTGCCACGCCACCACGTCCCCCGAGAGCAGCGCACTGGTGGTAGACGTCCAGGCGCTGCCGTCGCCCAAACAGGCAGCGGCGTCAGTTCCAGAGCACTTGCGCATATACCACACTTGCGCATCAGATCCCGATGCTGGGTCCATCCCTGAACCCCACGTCACAAACTCGCCTCCTTTCTGCATGTAGATGCCAGTCTCACCCCGTCCTCCAGCATGCGATCACTCCGATGATCCGCCTCCTCCTCCACCTCCTCCTACTCCTCCTTCCCCATCTCCTTTTCCTCGTCCTTGATCTCGTTATCCTCATCCTCCTGTTCCTTCGCCTCAGCCTCCTCGCCAACCATAGCTCAGCGCCCCCACCTCCAAGCCATCCCTCCTCCTCATCCCCATCGCTCTCCTCCTCCTCCTCCTCCTCCTCCTCCTACCCCTCACCCTGCTTCCTCTCCTCTTCCTCGTCCTTCTCCCCCTCATCACCCTCTTCGTTTTCCAGTTCTTATGAGACCAGGTGTATGGTCAGACTCGCACTCACCATGCAAATGCAATCCGCGAAGCGAAATGTGGGTTTAGCGTCATCATAACAATTGCGCCTTCGGCGGCCGAAAATGCAACCGTCTCCGAGTGGTTGCGCCAGAGGTTGCGCCCTGGGCGGCTGAGAATGCAATATTCTTCTCTCGGCTGCAGTATATAAGTTGCGCCATCAGCGGCCGAGCGTACAGCCATGTCCCAGGAGCAATTTGTTGGGTTGTGCCATTTGTTGCGCCATCAGCGGCCGAGCGTACAGCCGAGTTGGGTTGTGCCATTTGTTGCGCCTGCTGCCGACAGGAGCAGCACCACCTTCTGACGGATGTTTTACATGATGATGAGGAGAAGAATAATATGGGAGAGAAGGCAGAAGGCGGGGGAGGAAAATGATGAGCACGGGAGGAGTAAGAATAAAAGAGGTCGGGCTAGCAGGGGGAGGACAAGGAGGGGCAGGAGGACGAAGAGGACGAGGGGGCTGAAGAGGGGGAGGAGGAGGAGGAGGAGGAGGAGGAGGAGGAGGAGGAGGAGGAGGAGGAGGAACAGCAGGGCAACAAAACACTTCTATTCACATGTTTTTTAGTTGTTTGGCCAGTGATACCACGAAACACTGCTATTCACATTTGTTTTGGTTTTTTTGGTTTTCAGAGGTCTGCAAACTTCGCCGGCGATGGTCGGCGCCGATGAGCGCCAGAAAAACTTGTGAATAGCAGTGTTTGGTGGTTTGGCGGCGAGAAAACCCTGCTATTCACAGTTTTGTTTTGTTTTTGTTTGGGTTTTCTAGCTGAAACCAAAAGAAAAATGTGAATAGCATGGTTTTCTCGCCAGGATGCTACGAAACCCTGCTATTCACATTTTTTTGTTGGTTTTTCTGGCTTTCCAGCTGAAACAACCGAGCGAGGGGTCAGCACGGCGAGCTACCATCCTTGACACAAAAAAACGCACCTCGCGGCTAAATCTGGATGGTGCGCGGCCATCCCGCAATCTTTGTCAAGTGATTTTTGACAGGGACGGCGGGGGTGGTGGCGCGTGGCTTGCTGTGCGCAGGCCCAGCTGACACAATGATGGGCATCGGTGTTCGACAAGGATGGCGGGGGCCGACATGTTTCCCGATGTGTGCTGTCACGTGCGCAGGCGCACCTCACGTACTCTGCACATGCCCCGAACGCGTCGGAGCACGTGGCGCATCTGGCGCACCAGGCGTCCCAAACGGCTCCCGACGGCGTCAGACGTGCCAGGAACCCACCAAGATGGCCGAAGTTAGCTCGAAGCTGGCCCAAGACGGCACAAGAGGCCCCCAACAGGGCCTCCAGGAAGGCCACAAAAGGCCAAAAACATTGATTTTCCGCAGGTGTTCCAAGGATTTTGACATTTCCTTCTTTTCGGCCTTCCGACGGCCCGAGACGGCCCAAGAGCCCCCAAAGATCGCCGAAGGATGGCACAAGAGGCCTCCAAGATGGCCCCAGAACGGCACAAGAGGGCCCCAAGACGACCCCAAGAGGCCCCCAAGACGGCACAGGAGGCCTTTAAGACGCCCAAGATGGCCTCCAAGACGGCCCTGGAGCAGTCCAAGAGGGCCCCAAGACGGCCCATAGAGGCCCCCAAAACTGCTTCCGACGGCGTCTGACGGGCCAGGAGCCCACCAAGACGGCCGGACATGGCCCTAAGATGGCCCAAGACGGCCCAAGAGGCCTCCAAGAGGGCATCCAGGAAGGCCCGAAAATGCCAAAATCATGGATTTCCCAAGAGTTTTTGAAGGATTGTGGCATTTGCTTGTTTTTCGGCTTTCTGACGGCCCGAGAGCCCCCAAAGATCGCCCAAGAGGCCCAAGACACGGCCCCAAGAGGCCCCCAAGACGGCCAAAGAGGTCTCCAAGACGCTCAAGATGGCCTCCAAGACGGTCCAAGAGCCCTCCAAGACGTCCTCCAAGAAGGCCCGAAAGGGTAAAAACGGCCTCCAGACGGCCAAGATGACCTTCAAGATGCCCACGTGTTCCCCGAAGGCTTTCCAAACCGATTCGGGGAACACATGGTCCGATAGCTCGGCAGGTCGGGCCTCAACGTTCGGCCACATAGGCGCTTCCAAAAAGGCATGGGGCGGCGGTGATTCGCCGTAGGCGTCTTCGATAGCATAGTATAGCAAGCCAGTGTACATCTGACATATGTTGCATGGAGTGGCACATGTTGGAATAGCACATGCTAGCAATGCAGAGCGCTTCATGGCCTGACTCTGCAACACATCTTTAGCAATACAAGAATATCATGTCACGGCAAAAATGTCGTGGCGTTGCAAGCAAAGGCAAATCGAAGCAAAGCAACACAACTCTAAGCCAAGGAAACAGGGAAATCCCAGCAACCCCGGGGAATCCCGGAGGAATCTCCGAGGAAACCAAGGGAATCCCCAAGAAGTCAAAGCCTCTGGGAACTGTTCAATTCGCCGATCTTATGAAGAATCCTTCAGTGCGAATTCTGGGCGGAACTGACGCCGCCCCCTGTCGATTCATCGCAGGGGTGCCTAGCGTGCTGGATCCTTTCGGTTTTGGTTTTGGTTCTTTTTCCAAAAGAACTCCCCCTGGCGCTTCGGCCCGTCCCGCCGGCGTCCCGGGAGGATTGCCCAGGACCCCAACGTCCACAAAAAATCCTCCAAGGCGGCTCAAGATAGCGTTCAAGATGGCCAAGATGGCCAAGATAGCCTCCAAGATGATTCTACACAGTTCTAGATGGCCTCCCTGACGGCCCAAGAGCGTCCAAGATACCTCCAAGTTCGCCCAAGAAGCCTCCAAGACGGCTCAAGACGGCCTCAGAGGCCCTCAAGACATCTTCCAGGAGGGCTCGAAGAAGCCAAAATCGTTGATGTTCCTTGTGGTTTTGAAAGATTTGGGCATTTGCTTCTTCTCGACATTCCGACGGCTCAAGACGGCCCAAGAGGACCCCAAGATCGCCTCAAGATCGCCCACGAGGCCTCCAAGATGGCCCCATGACGGCCCCAGAGACCCCCGAGACGGCCCCAATAGAGCTCGAAGAGGCCCCCAAGACGGCCCAGATGGCCTCCAAGACGGCTAAGATGGCCCCAAGATGCCCTAAGACGGCCCAAGATGCACCCACGACGGCCTAAGACGGCCTCAATATGGCCCAAGATGGCCCCAGAGGTCCCCAAGAGGCTCTCGAGACGGCGTCAGACGTGCCAGGAACCCACCAAGATGGCCGAAGTTGGCTCGAAGCTGGCCCAAGACGGCTCAAGAGGCCTCCAAGAGGGCCTCCAGGAAGGCCAGAAAAAGCCAAAAACCCAGATTTCCCGCAGTTGTTGTTATTTTATCTCTCTCTCTCTCTCTCTCTCTCTCTCTCTCTCTCTCTATATATATATATATATATAGAGACAGTTGCTTCTTTTCGGCCTTCCGACGGCCCGAGACGGCCCAAGAGCCCCCAAAGATCGCCCAAAGATCGCCCAAGAGGCCTCCAAGATGGCCCCAGCACGGCCCAGGAGGGCCCCAAGTGGGCCCAGAGAGACCCCCCAAACGGCTTCCGACGGCGTCAGACGGGCCAGGAGCCCACCAAGACGGCCGAAGATGGCCTTAAGATGGCCCAAGAGGCGTCCAAGAGGGCCACCAGGAAGGCCCGAAAAGGCAAAAAATCATTGATTCCCCGAGAGTTTTTGAAGGATTATGGCATTTGTTTGTTTTCTGTATTCCGACGGCCCGAGACGGCCCAAGTGCCCCCAAAGATTGCCCAAGACGGCCCCAAGAGGCCCCCAAGACGGCCCAAGAGGCCTCCAAAACGCGCCAGATGGCCTCCAAGACGGCCCAAGAGCCCTCCAAGACGTCCTCCAAGAAGGCCCGAAGGAGTCAAAAATGGCCTCCAGACGGCCAAGATGAACTTCAAGATGCCCATGTGTTCCCCGAAGGTTTTCCAAGCCGAATCGGGGAACACATGATCCGATAGCTCGGCAGGTCTGGCCTCAACGTTCGGCCACATAGGCGCTTCCAAAAAGGCAGGGGGCGGCGGTGATTCGCCGTAGGCGTCTTCGATGGCATAGTAGTATAGCAAACCAGTGTACATCTGACATATGTTGCATGGAGTGGCACATGTTGGAATAGCACATGCTAGCAATGCAGAGCGCTTCATGTCCTGACTCTGCAGCACATCTTTAGCAACACAAGAATATCCTGTCACGGCGAAAATGTCGTGGCGTTGCAAGCAAAGGCAAATCGAAGCGAAGCAACACAACTCTAAGCCAAGGAAACAGGGAAATCCCAGCAACCCCGGGGAATCCCGGAGGAATCTCCGAGGAAACCAAGAGAATCCCCAAGAAGTCAAAGCCTCTGGGCACTGTTCAATTCGCCGATCTTATGAAGAATCCTTCAGTGCGAATTCTGGGCGAACTGCGGCAAGGTTCGAGAGACATGATCCACTACGAATCCGGCGGCGTCGAAATGGTGGGCGCTCATCAGGTAAAGCCCGCACCAGCGAGCGGTTTCAATAGGGGATGGTTTAAGGGACACGGCCGACTCCCCTATTGACATCCAGAAGAACCATGACGGTAACACTCCAATCAAAAATAGCAATGCAACAAAATGTACCGAACCCAAAGCAGCCGCCAGTTGAATTCCCATTGACTTGAGGAACCGTGTCGTGTGCTCTGGCGTATTGCATGTTCCCTGGCAGTTCCCAAAATCGGCGGCGAGCGAGGGTGGGAAGTGAGAAGGGGCGGGCCTTCTC